TGGTTCGGTCTCTGCATTGCTGAGCCCATATTTTTAATTGTTGCTTGAGGCGTGGAACCGGAATTCATCTTCATCTTCTTATACCGTGGATCGGACGCTGCAGTACTTTAGCGACTTCAAGAACCTATCCATCTCCCCGGCATTAATTACCCTTTCACATCTGAAATCCCGATGCATTGTGGATTCGGATCTGGAACGCACTTCTCTTGTGTTGCACACGCAGTCAATGTGCTACTACGGACTTGGGTAGTTAGATTGTCCAAGAAGCTTGCAAAGTCTGTCGGACGTGGCGGCACTTCAGTAGTGGTTGTGTTGCGGCATTCCGAGACAGGTCGGGGTTCATCGATTTTGATGGCGACATCGTTTCCCTGAACAGAAGTCATCCTCCTCCCTTCTCCGCAGCTGGGGATCATTCACCACCTCCGGTGTTACTCCAGTTACTCGGTTCCAGAAGTGCCGTGTTGCTAATTGTCATGCCGAATGTCACGATTTATGGCGATCAAGGAGATCGAGTTGTTTCAGACGCGTGTCGCAACGGAAACACTGGGTTGCCAGAAACTTGTCACACATCCTATTGATGCGAGGTACTTCCGGCCGTGGTGTTGAAGGAGCACTATCGGCACACCGTTGGCAAAGCCTCAGAGCGAATTCAAACGTCTTGGATGGAAAAAAGTGGAGGAATGAGGACAAGGTGCCGAGCGCGAGTGGGTACAAAGCAATGAATGACTTCTTATCGCGGGACAGTGGCGTTTCGGCAGCGGGCGGTAGCGTGTCGCACATATTGCGTGATGGGTGAGGATATTGATAGGTTAAAGCGGGACCCGAAGCATCCTAAACGCTTCCTGAGGGGGGTTCTGTTTTGTTACGCAGGTCGAACACCTGGGTGTCACACGTTTGTGTCAGGTTGAAATAGAAACGGGCGGATGTGACATCCGCCCGTCATTTGTGTTATCCTTGCTTGGGGAATAGTACGGGTCATCCCGGCACCGTGATCGGTGGTGTCATCAGCTGCTTAATCTCAGGAAAGACCTCTTGAATCATTGCCTCGATTGCCGTGTTTGTTTAAGTGTGACGTCTGCCATGCCGCAGCCTTGACAAGCCGCCCCATATGAATGTATATGGCATCATCCTCGACATTCAGGATGTTCTATCTGTCCACCTGTGCCGCAACAGCCGATTAATCCCGTTCATCAATGAGCTTCTGAACCTCTTGTGCTTTTGGATTGTCCATGTTGGTGTGTTTGGTTCTCAATGTTGAACCCCATCGAATTCAGGTCATCACATAGTCAATCACAGTACCTTAAGGTCAGGCTCGCTTTCCGCGTCGACAAGTATATTAAAATTCCCACAACAACAACATGTCATCTGCTTGTGCTTCCGTAGCTAAACCAGGCTGTCTTGAAAGCGGTGGCAGTTCTACCCTGATACCAACAAATGCTAGCGATAGTCCTTGAACTTCAGCCTCGTCGGTTGCTATCACTGACCTGAATTTTCTCATGTGCGGCTTCTGTGACTGTCAGCAAAGCGGTTTCAGTGCCCTTGAGCTTCTCTCAAGATATTCTTCATAATTGCCTGCCGTGAGCGCGTTATGCGGCGGTTTTCCTGCCATGATGACGATTTGACCGAAGATCGCCCATTCGTCATAAAGGTCATACAATCGTTGATTGCGTCTATTCCCAGCTTTGGGCGGACTCGTTCCCGGGTCACTTCCAAGCGACACGATTTCTCGGAGTGTTTTCCGTTCTCTCCGTCCTCAAGTCCGAAACGCATCTTCAATACTCTTTGTTCGCGCTCTGGCAGTCTCTTGAGAACATTGATGTGATCGTCAAATCTGATTAACCTCATTCTGCGATAATCGGCCGCACTTCAGCACTGGTTGTTGGGTCTTCGATTAAGTCGCCTAATGTAGCAGCAGACGTTGCTTCGTCGCTAAGTGTAAATCATCGCGATAGCGTCAGCAGTAAACTGTTAAAATTTCTTCGACCTGTTTCAATGTCAAAGTCTAAAGCGTCTGCTATTTCGTCGCGCCGCGGCTCGCGTTTGTAGTTCTTGACACAACGTGAGTAGACGGCGTCGAACTTGTTCATCTTTGGCAACTACGTAGGAAGGTAATCGAATGGAACGGAAAAATTGTCAAGCGTACGCATATCGCTTGTTTAATCCACCAAATCGCGTACGTACTGAATTTAAAACCCCTCTGATAGTCAAACTTGCTTGCTGCTTTAAGCAGTCCCGATGTTTCCTTCTTGAATCAAATCTTCGAGTGGCACGTTGTGACCTTGGTATTTAACGGCGATAGAAATTACGAGTCGTAGATTCGCTTGGACAGTTCATCTCGTGCCCTACGTGCTTCACTCTCCGCTACTCCAATCGTTTCGTCAGTTTATCTTTTTCTTCGTCAGATAATGAGTCACCTTTCACCAGTGCGTCTTGTAGTTCGCTTACCAGTGCTTTTCTTGTTTCGCTCCTGCCAGCGCCATTCGTACTGTCAGTTGCTCTCTCTTTCTCGCGAGATAATAGGTCTACGTCCACTAAGGCATCTAATAGTTCGTTTAGTGCTTTAGCCTCTACGGCGTCAATTCGTACTGCCAGTTGCTCTCTCTTCTCGCGAGATAATAGGTTACTTCCACTAAGGCGTCTAATAGTTCGTCTAGTGCTTTAGCTTCTGCGCTTCAATCCGTTTCGCCAATTGAACTTCTTCCTCGCGGGGTTAACAGACGGTGACCTGCTACGCTCCGAAGCCAACTCGTTTAAAGCGCTTTGATCGCTACCTGTATAACTTCTGAGGGTTCTGTCTCATCTGGCGGATATGTTGCATCCATGTATGGATGCAAACACTTTCAATACTTGCTGTTTCACCGAAAAACTCGGCTTCCATCTTTCTCCTCTCCTTCTATAGACTTTTGATAAAACAAAATTAATGATACATTATATTAAAACGTTTTGTCAAGTAAAATGTTTAAAAAAGCGACATTTCACCAAAAAACCCGAAAAAACAGGGATTTTAAACAGGATTTTACGGAAAAAAGGAGCGCGACGCGGCAATTGCGTCATCATTTCGCGTAAGGCACTCTCAATACGGGAAAAAGAACGCTATAGGTCTCAGCACAAGAATCCTCTTGTTTGTTCCATACAGTCGAAATAGAGGCAAAAACTGCTATGTAGAATGTCCGATTAGAAGCACTGCTGTTGGTAGTGAAGTCTCTGTCGCCTCTTCAAATGCTCTCGCGATGCCGGAACATCCGAGTCTGTTTCAAGCATTTCATAAGAGAGATTCCATGCTTTCAACGTCGGTTCAAGGAAAGTCGCTACAGAATCGACCCATTGTCCATCTCTATCTCGGTTGTGGTAACCGCGATATCCAATAAATACCACTACTGGGACCCGCATGTTGACAACGGTGGCCTCGGATCGCATCGCCTGATTCCAAGATCCGTATTTTGGATGATGATAACAGGCTTTTTGCCACCAACGTACAGCCTGACGCAATAGCAAATGCTTCTCCTTCGCGGGTGACCGTATGACTTCGATACCAGGCTCTGATCGTAAGAGTTCATAAATCCGGGCACTACCGTTATCTGGAACGCCTACAGCGTGGGTGATCTTCTGTTTTTTTAATTCATTTACTATTTCTGTGCTGATGCCAATTTTTAATTTTTCCTTATGGTAAATAACGGACGTTAGAACTATCAAAAGGGTGCCTTACCTCCGCGCTACGCCGTTTGTTGCAGACTACCCCTTTGATTTATCAACACGACGGACAATCGTGATTTCTATCGTCTCCCGTCAACCAAAGCGTCAACACACTGTTGGATCGGCAAGGGTGGAGGGATCACCAGGTCGGAGATGTCGCCTTCCGCGATTTGCGGAGGATACGCCGGCATAATCTTGCCGATCTCGTCTTTGGCAGGGCAGGGGTAAACTGAATCTTGTCAGGCGTGGCGATAGGTCCGATATGTTGTCGGACCGCCTGTTTGATGCCTGTTTCCACCGTATCAGATGCGGGATTCGCCCGTCATGAGCGTAACATACGCATAGATGCCTTGTCCCTTGATGTCGTGTGGAACCGACGACTGCGGCTTCTGCCACTGCCTCGTGTTGCCCGATTGCACCTCGACCTGCTGCTGTGCTAATCGGGTGCCGGAGACGTTCAGACGTCATCACGCGTCCTGTATCCAAAATACCCTCTCTCAACTGAAGAACGTAGCATGAGGACCCATGCGTCCTGTCAACCTAGTAGCCGTGGAATCGGTGGACGGAAATAGCTGTCCAAAAGAAGCGCGGAAGTGGGTCATAGGCGTCGAATCGCAGGCCCGTAGATGGTTCGCATGATGCCGGGGCCACGCCGTTTAAATACAGAGATACCGGTTGCAGGGTTACCTTCCACTTCGTAACACCTTCATCAAGTATCACCGGTTCAATTCCGAAGAACGGGAAGGTTGCCGAAGCCGGGTTTCAGTGGTGGTCGCAGCAGGCAGTGGTGTCATCAGAATCCCACCCGTTTCGGTTTTGCCACCATGTATCGACGATGGGGCACCGTTTCTCACCGACTGTATTGTAGTACACAGCCACTCCGGTTCTTTGATCGGTTCACCCACCGTACCGAGCAGTCTAAGCGTGGATCTGTCGTACTTTTCGACCCATGTATTCCCTTCTTTCATCAGCGCGCGCTAGTGCTGTCGGGGCAGTGTAGAAGATATTAATGTGTGCTTCTCAACGACCTGCCAAAGCGTCCAAAGTCCGGATAGTTTGGCACACCTTCAAACATCACACTATCGCACGATTTGCAAGTGGACCGTAGACAATATAAGAGTGTCCTGTTATCCAACCTATATCGGCGGTGCTTTTTGCACAGTAGACATCGCCTTCGTGATAGTCAAAAACCTGTTGATGTGTGTAAGATGTGTAAACGAGGTAACCGCCTGTAGTATGCAAAACTCCCTCGGTTTACCGGTCGAGCCGGAGGTATACAGGATAAAAAGCGGTCTTCAGATTCATAACTACCGGTTCACATCTGCATCGGCGTTTGCTATTGCTTCATGCCACCAAATATCTCTGGATGCATCAAAGTCAACTGCATCTCCTGTTCGCTTGACAACGACAACCTTTTCAAGAGATGGACACTCGGCAACTGCGGCATCGGCATTTACCTTCATCGGTATATCGCTACGGGTACCACGCATTGCCGGTACCTGCGTTATCAGCAGTTTAACACGCTGAGTCGTTAATTCTGTCTCGGAGGGCTTCCGCTGAAAATGCGCCGAAAACGATAGAGGGACAGCACCAATCCTCGCACACGCTAACATCGCAATCGCTAACTCTGGAACCATCTGTAAGTAGATACACACGCGGTCGCCTTTTTCTATGCCTTGTGCCTTCAGGACATTGGCAAACTTTTTGACCTCAGCGAGGAGTTCACTGTAGTGAATGTATTATCTTCGGATGGGGCGTTCCCTCCCAAATATGGCGTTGCATCACCGTGTCCTGCTTCTATATGCCGATCGAGGCAATTATAGCAGACGTTCAGTGTGCCTCCGTCGGAACCATTTAATCTCCGCGTTAACGAAATCGTAATCGCGAACTGTATGCCATTTCTGATACCACGTCAATCGTTCCGCGATCGTTGCCCAAAATGCTTCCGGATCTTGAATTGATTCGGCGTATTGTGCTTGATATGTTTCTAAGCTGTTGACGTGAGCATCACCAATCGGATAAGCGGTTTCTGCCGGTGGAAAAACATTGTTAGCCATATTATATTTTCATCTCCTCTATGAGTCAGTCTGGAAGCACGCTCTTAAAACGCACCTACGAGTTGTGATGTGGCATATTTTATAAGGGAAGCCGTAAGCGTGTCAACCGTAAAAGCGGGGAAAGGTGACAGCCACTACATCCATCGTCATTGCGACAAGCCAGTGAATTGCCGCTCCATAGATAAATGAGCGCGTTTCCAGAGCAAGTATCCCGAGCAATACACCCCAATGATTGAACCGAGTGCCTCCGGTAACGGCTTTGAATAGTGCATCACTGCAAATGGGATCGTCTGAATTAAGAGAGTATAGTTCCCGAATTTCCGTTCCAATCCGAAGAGCATAAACCCACGGAAGAAGAATTCCCACGAAAACATGTAAACACCATACGCGAGTTGGTAAGGTAGAAATGCCTGCCAACTACTCGCCACTACCTTGCAGAGTGGATACTTTGCTACGAAAGGCGGGTACGCGATGACTGCGAGAATAATCACAGGTATCATCAGGAACCATGCCGCTCCTGTTATGCTCCATCCAAGTTTCTGATTACCGAGTTGGAATCCGTAGTCCTTCAGCCGCTCCTTTGTTCCGAATTGCGCAACGAGCGCGGGGACGAGTAACAACGTGACTGCTGTCGTCAAAAACCAGTAGTAATACGAGTGACTCTCTGCCAGTGGGACGTTGCTAAGGTATTCTGCGAAGTGGCGTTTGAAAAAACTCCGCCGACTGTAATATCTGTGTAATGTTAATAGTAGTGCAGAGGCAAGCAGAACAACAGTCGCTTGTCGTTCCCAACCGCGTAGATATTTCTCTTTTAAGCTTTGGACACGGAAATTCATCTTGACATCCCGTAGATTTTAGGATATTATACCATCACTCGTGGAATTTAGCAATAGGCTGTTTAAAGAGGATTCGGTCTGCAAGGTCCAATCCAAAGATGTAAGAGAACAGGATGTTTTCAACTGAACAAATCGAACGTATCTTAATCATCAGACTCGCGCCTCTGGGAGAAACGGTTTTAACAACGCCTGTCATTCGTGCCTTACGCCGCCACTTTCAAAATGCCTACATTGCTTACATGGTAGCACCGACACGAGAGGATTTAGTGTCCGTAAACCCACACCTGAACGAGGTACTTACCTATCAGGCTTCGGTGCCGAAACTCATCTATCAGATTGCTCGGCGAAAATTCCAAATGGCGGTTGTGTTACAACCAACGTTTCGTCTCGTCCTTCACGCATTTCTCGCCAGAATCCCGTTCCGTGTTGGATTTGAAACGAACGCCGGGGGGAAAAAGTTGTTGAATCTCGCAGTCCCGAATAACACCTTGCAGCATGAGACGCAACGCTATCTCGATGTCGTTCGGGCACTGGGTGTTGAAGTCTTGGACAGTGAACCGGAAGTATTTGTTGATAGGGCAAGCATCGCGTGGGTGAACAATTTTCTTGAAAACCAGAAACTTAATGATAGCAAGCTTATTATCGGTCTCAATCCGGGTGCCGCGACCGATTACCGCCGCTGGCACGCAGTGAATTTTGCGGCTCTTGGTGATCAGTTACATGAAACATACGGCGCTCATATTATTATCACGACCGGACCGCGGGAAGGTGAGTTAGCAGCTCAAGTGGCGAAGCAGATGGTGTATTCACCCGTTATTGTCAATCGGGCGACCCCGATGCAACTTGCGGCACTTCTGCAACGGTGTAATCTATACATTAGCAACGATACGGGACCAATGCACCTCAGCACTGCCGTGAAAACACCGACGATTGCCTTGTTTGGAGCCTCTAATCTTATCCAGTGGGCACCGCCGTGGGACAGACATGCGGTGGTCGCTCGCAAAGAGTGTTCGTTTATGAAAACGCTATCGTCCAAAGAGTGGGACGCGCATCCCGATCGCGCTCGCGAGAATCTTGAAGCGATTACCCCAGATGCAGTTATGGCGACAGTGGAGAAACTCGCATGGTAAGTTCTGAACGCGACCGAGTCGAAGGATTGGATGCGCAACGCATCAAAATTTGTCTAAACGACATTCGTGGTAGGATGTATCGGCAGGCACTCTTGCAGACGATCACATCTACATTTTTCTGTGGACTCATTCTGCTCGCTATTCTGTTCCTCCTGAATCGAGTGATTCTCCTACCGATGCATATATCAGGGATCAGTTGGATCGTTATGTCTGTAGTGATAGTTGTGGGTGTAGGTCTCAGTGTCAAGCACCGAAAGGATTTACTGTTTGTCGCGCGGATTGTTGACGAGAAAATGGATCTCAGTGAGCGTCTCAGCACAGCACTTGGGCTGATACAAGCCGATCCCGAAAACGAGTTCGCACAACTCCAAATCCGAGATGCTGCAGAGACTGCGACAGCCTTAGACATTGCAAAAGTAAGTCCGTATCGTGTACCAAAGCTCCTGAAACTGTTTCTGATCCCTCTCCTGCTGATTGGGTTATCTTTCACGATTCCACCCTTCTATGAGGTGCCACAGCCATTGACAGACCCGCAGCAGCAGGCGTTGAATAGAGCAGTTCAAAGTCTTGAAGGGAAACAGATTGAGAATTCGACCCTACAGCGCAAAATCAGCGACACAGTAAATGAATTGAAAGCCGCAGCGGATCTCAATACAGCACAAGGACATCTCAGCAACTTAAAAAAAGAGGTCCGCGAGCAGCAATCGGTGCAAACTGCTATTACCGAAGCCACGGAAGCGAGTCAAAGTTTTCGTGGTATGGATGCCAACCAACTCGCTACAGAGCTGAAAAACCTCACTGAACAGGCTGAGATACCGCCGGAGCTCCAAGCGGAACTTATGGGGCTCTTTGAACGTTTAGCTAAAGGGCTACCGAAGAGCGCGCTCAGTGATTCACTGAATCAGATTCAGGGCAAAGCGGTCACACCGGAGACGTTGCAAGACATCATCGCTGCCCTTGAGAAGATGGAAAAATCAACAGATCTCGCGCAACTGGAGGCACAACTCACGTCAAGTCAGAAGGAACTGGCATTGGCAACTATTGAAACTAAATCCCCAGGAGGCGGGATTGCGAATAGCGATGGTGCCCCTGGACAAGACGCTGGAACCAGTGAGGTCCAAGGGGCTCGTGAAGGTAGATCGAATTCCGATCCACAGTCAGAATCGCAGGGGACCGAGTCAGACAAAAGGGAGAGCGGAACAGACAATGGAGATTCTACAGCACCACTGACTGGTGAGGAGACCGCAGTCCTACAGGGGAATGGAGAACAGTTGACACTTACAGCAGGTGCCTCTGGTAGCGCGGAAGGTTTCTCTCGCGTCTTTACTGGTGAGGTTAGCGACGATGCGCCTGTCTATTTACCCTTTGCCGATGTAGTCCTCAGCGCGTCGCGTGCGTATGCTGAAGCCGTAGAAAATAACCGTATTCCTGTCCGATATCAGACACAGATTAAATCCTATTTAGAGGCGGTTTCTACAAAAAATGAAAAAGAGCACAATTAAAATTCTAATTGCTGTTGGGGTCGTTGCGGCGGTTTATCTCGTGTTGAGGTACTATGGCGTAACAGACGATATTCGCTTAGAGAACGTACCGAAAATCAAGACATGGGTGGCGGGTTTTGGGAAAATTGCTCCGTTGGTTTACATTGGGCTCTATCTGGTATCCACTGTCTTTTTCCTTCCCGGTTCCCCAGTAACTGTGTTAGCGGGTTTCGTCTTCGGACCCTTGTGGGGTATCTTTTACGCTTCCGTAGCTTCTATTATCTCTATCTCCATTGCTTTTCTCATTGCCCGCTATGTTGCCCGCGACCTCGTTGAAGGTTGGGTCAAAAACAATGCGCAATTCCGCAAGATAGATGAGCAGGTTGAAGAACAGGGATGGCGTATCTTGATGTTTACACGCTTGGTCCCGATTTTCCCATTTAACCTTCAAAACTATGCCTATGGGCTAACCAGTATTCGGTTCTCCACTTATGTACTTGTCTCTGCTATCTTTATGTTGCCGGGGACAGCAGCGTTTGTCCAGCTCGGTGGCGCGTTTGTGAGTGGTGAGGGCAATATTTGGAAGACGCTACTCTATCTTGGAATAGCTGGCGTGCTAATGCTCTTGCTATCTTTGATTCCGAGATTGCTACAAAAATATCAAACGAAATTGTAGTTCAGAGAAACCGATGAAACGGGTGAGTCACGGCTGCTTCTGAAGTAACGCCGCGACCGCAGCAAATGCTTCTTCACGGGTTCGGATTTCACCGTCAAATTGACGGTCCTCAATCTCTTTTAACAGATCTCCAATTTGCTCCCCTTCTTTCAAATGAAATTCCTGAATCAGATCGTTTCCCGTGATCAGTCTGCCCTGCTTACAGATCGGCAGAATATGTTCATAATAAGTATCTGCGATCTGTTTTAGAATTGCCGAATCAATCGGAGATGACGCTGCGGAATATAGGAGGATACCCCACCAATCGGACGTATAAGTTCTAAGGAAGCGATTTATCTGTTTCTGTGTCAATTGTGGGATTGTGTTTTTAAGTTTCTTGCTTCCTGAGATGAGGCATTCCATAAACTTCACCGCTTTTCGGCTGAATCGAAGGCGTTCACCGATACTCCCCAAATTGTCTCCCAAGAGTAGGCTAAGCTTGATGAGCGAACACCTATTGATTTCTACACTGAGTTCCTCCTGGAGATAGTGATTAATTTCCTTGCGATAAGCGTGGAGTGCTGTAGGAATTGGGACCTTCCTCGAAAGTTTCAAGCGAGCTCCAAGCCCTGTGAGGCTCTTTGATAATCGGAACGACCTGTGTGAGTAGTCCTGCTGCCTCCATTTGTTGTAGATACGGGTGTGCCTTCTTAATGTAAAGAATTTTCATCAGTTCGTCTCGGCACCGTTCCCCCGCTACATCAGACAGCATCGACCTGTACGCTGTTACCAGATCGATTGCATTCTGGGAAATCTCGAAGTCTAACTGCGCTGCGAATCTATAAATCCGTAAAAGTCGAACCGGATCTGCTATCACCACCTGTCTGTTCGGAAATCGGAGCAGACCTCCCTTTAGGTCTTTCATACCACCGCACGGATCAATTACCCGACAGAGGATTTGTTTGCGTGCCTTATTTGTAAACGTTCCCACATTTTCAAACGCGATTGCCATCGCATTAATCGTCAGGTCCCGTAAGCGTAGGTCGTCAGTGAGCGATGCGGCTCGGAATTGTGCGAAATCCATGCTGAGTTGTGGGGTCTGTGAAGTGCTGTCGGGCTTAACAATCACGCGGGCTGTCGGTGGGTTTTCTTCTAAGGCGATGACGATTGCTCCGATGTTGGCTGCAAATGCTTTAGCAAACTGGATTGCATCAGAAGCCAGCGTAAAGTCAATATCTGTCGTCTGACGTCCCAGGAACAGATCCCTTACGCTCCCTCCGACGAGATAGAGCTGCACCCCTTGATCTTTTGCGAAAGTTTTGAGTGCCTGCATGATCGGGTTGTCAAATAGTTCTTGGAGTGTCTGTTCTGTTATGTTCATTGGTTAACTCGTGCCTTCTGTCGTTGTGCTTTCCGCGAACGGAATAAAATGCCATCCAAATGGAGATGCGTCGCGTAGCCGATAAAACTTGCGACATAAAACGGGAAACCGCTACGGACAGCATCCATAAGTCCTTCCCACTCTCGCAAGGCGTTGAGTGAGTCTACGAGAGTGCCAGCCGTCTCCCACTCTGAATATGCGGCATAAATTGGAATTAACAGAAACACACTGGGGAGCAAAATCATCGTAATTTTGGCGTGTGTCCATCCACGATGTTTGCTCATAATTGGGAGCATCGCGAATAGACCGAGCAGCGCGGATTCCAGATACTTTTGCAAGAAAACGATCAGCACTACGTTCATCGCAAATAATACAGTATAAAATATTTTTTGACTCTTACTCTTAATGTCAACGTCTGGCCACAATCCGAATAGGACTGCGACAACAAAACAGCCGATAATTTTTACAACGTCTCTCACCGGTGGAATAGTTAGATTCCACTCCTGTGGCACAGTATCATAAAGGATTGGAATGGCGAAGGTGGCGATAAGCGAGATGGTGAAAAAAGTACTATAAACGACTAACCCGCCGATCCAGTGTTCGCGGAACATGCTCATGCGAGATAGTATAGCATACTTATCATCGGAATGAAAATTACTTTTTGTCCTAACCAACAGGTGTGGGTAGATTGGATTTAACTTGACTTCCAGTACAGAATATGATACAATTATGTCATAACCTTTGCGAATCTTGCTTTTAGGGACGGGTTTTTTACGCGTAGTGCCGAAACGACTGATGAAGTGGTCGGAGGTTTAACATGGCTGTTGGAACCAAGAATTCTCGGTAATATCAAGGCGACTATCGCTTTTTTCAAAGGACCCAGTGGCGAGGTCATTGAATTTTTTGAAACCCATTAGCCTTTGATCTCAAGGATCAGGCTTGCTGACTAATTGGCTTGATTAAAAGAAGGGAAACGGGTATTATGTACGGGTATTATGTAACAATAGAGGTGCGTGGGCGAGAATTTATACCCCGTTGCTTCGGCAGCGGTCGTGGTCGTAAAACGCAGTCCTTGGAATTCGGGTGAGGTTTTCGTCTTCGGTTCACCTATTCCTTTCAACTGGGCACTACGACTTCATATAAACCGCGAAGAACCTCTATGATTGGGAGTATCGCGTTTTTTTATTTTTATATTATGTTAGATATGACAGAAGCCGAGAAAAATTCCATTATTGAGATGTTAGCACCGATACTTGACAGTGACGGTATTGAGCTTGTGGATGTTGAAACACATTCAAAAACGCTGCGACTCCTCATTCATAAACCCGATGGGCTTTCGGTGGCAGATTGTCAAACGGTGAACCAGATCGTACGTCCGATTTTAGAGGTGCATAAGCATTTAGAAAACTATGCTCAGTTGGAAGTAGCTTCCCCCGGCATAGACAGACCTTTACGAACCGCTAAGGATTTTCAGCGAAATTGTGGACGGACCGTTCGGATAGAAATTGAACCAAAAAACGAACAAAAGCGTCAAGTACAAGGCACCGTTGTGGAGGTGCGTCACGGAGAAGTCGTCTTAGCGCAGACTGGTGGAAACGACATCTCCGTTAAAATTTCGCAAATTCTCAATGCACATATACACCTGAGTTGGTAGCGATCAAGTGCCAAAAACACACACTGCGAATATTAAAAGATGGAAAGGAGTACGCTGGCTTGTTATACAGGACAACGTCTACAAGTCTGTATAATTAAGAGATCACGCGGACATCAATTATTATGTTAGAGAACCTCCAAAACGCTATACGTCAAAATACGGCACAGACAGATTTACCTGAACAGGTTTTCATTGAAGCGATAGAGGAGGCACTGTGTGCCGCCGCACGCCGGGTTTACGGTGATGATGCCAACGTTTCTGTTGAGATTAATTTGGAGAAAGGTGATATACGCTGTTATGTCCCTAAAAAAGTCGTTAATATTATGCGTGATTTCTCGACAGAGATTCCGATTGAGCAAGCGGTGCTACTTCAAGAGGACGTTGAAGTTGGGGAGATGCTGGCCGTTGAAATCAACCCCAGCGAGTTTGGACGGGTCCCGGCACAGTTGGCGAAGCAAATCCTTTTCCAGAAAATCAAGCAGGCGGAGCGAGAAAAGATTTATCAAGAGTTTGCGGGACGTGAAGGCGAAGTTGTCACAGGTTATGTCCAACGTTTTGAACGCGGTGGTGTCATTTTGGATCTTGAGCAGACGGAAGCCTTTTTACCACCGCGTGAGATGCCACGTTCACAGAACTATGAGCGTGGTAAACGCTTACAATGTCTAATTTTATCGGTAAAGAATGAGGCGCGCGGTGCTCCGGTTATTGTATCCCGGACGCATCGAGATCTGGTAGCGATGTTATTTGAGCAAGAAGTTCCTGAAATCTATGAGGGTCAGGTTGAGATTATGGCGGTTGCGCGTGATCCTGGGAATCGAGCGAAAGTTGCCGTCAGGGCGACAGAAGATGGCATTGATGCTGTAGGCACGTGTGTTGGTGTTAAAGGGATACGCGTCCAAACGATCGTCAGTGAACTTGATGATGAGAAGATAGACTTACTGGAATGGAGTGAAGATGCCAATGTATTCATTGCGAATGCTCTGGGGGGACGAGTTGGCGTACGTAGGGTTGAGCTCAATGAAGAAGATAGGAGTGCTCTTGTGATTGTTCCGGACGATCAACTGTCTTTAGCGATTGGACAACGGGGACAGAATGCGCGACTCGCGGCGAAATTGACAGGTTGGAAAGTTGACATAAAAGGTGAGTCTGAGGATCCTGTTTCGATGGATGGACTCTTTAAGCCGGAAGATTCTGATAAAACAGATGCGCAAGCCTCAGGCAGTCAAGAAGAAAGTCCTGACCAAAGTCTGCAAGAACAGGAGACTGCCGATGTGCCGGATTCAACAGAGGTTGAACAAGTCGTTGACTTGGCGGAGGATGTTGAGGGAGACTCAGATGCCGATGCTGTTGAAACTGAGGGAGCAGAGAGTCCCGACGAGGAGATCGAGACGGAGACATCTGTCGCTCCTGAGCTTGATGATTTTGATGCTGAGTCTTAAAAGTGGGTGGAGTCATTGAGAGATGTTATTCGCACTTGTATTGGGTGCCGTGGGAAATTACCGCAGAAAGTGTTGGTTCGGTTCGTGTGTCAGGGGGACGGAAAACTGCAAATCGACAGTCAAAGGAAGTTAGGCGGGCGCGGAGCTTACGTTTGCCTCTCTCAAGACTGCATCCAGAAAGCGTTCAAGTCTCCCAAACGGATTAATTCTTTATTACGTGTGCAACTGGCAAGTCAGAATATAGCACAATTTGAACAGATGCTTCTTCAAAGGACCCAAGAGTCCACGAGCAGAAAAGAAGAAAAGGAGAAATTACTATGAACAGGGCACGACGACAGCCACAACGACGGCAGAGGAAGCCCGCCAAGGGTAGTCAAGAGAAAAGTCAAGTCTCTGGTGTGCGAGTTTATGAATTGGCGACACAATACAACCTAACAAACAAGGAGCTTATTGCTCTACTTGAAGCGCGTGGCGTTCGCGTTAAAAGCGGGATGAGTGCCCTCGATCCGGACACCATCGCGCTTATTGAATCAGAATTGGCTGGCGAACCGGTGGAGAAAACCGTTTCTACGCCCGAAGATGCTGTTGAAAACGCCTCAGCGTCGGAAGAAACTGCTACAACCAATGGTTTGCAGGTTATAGAAGGTACCACTGTCGCTGACCTTGCAAAATCGCTGGAGTTGCAACCTTCAGCGTTGATTATGCGTCTCATGAAGTTAAAGGTGATGGCGAGCATAAATCAGCGGCTTGATTACGATACGCTTGTGATGCTTGGGGAGTCCCTGAATTTTGAGGCGGTTAAGCTAAGAACGCTTGAAGATGAACTGTTGACCGAGATACCTGATGACCCAGCATCTTTACAACCTCGAGCTCCGGTGGTCACAATCATGGGACATGTTGATCATGGCAAAACATCTCTTTTAGACTCTATTCGTCAATCAAATATCAGTGAATCTGAGGCGGGTAACATAACACAGCATATTGGAGCTTATCACGTAAAATTAAAAGGTGGGAGCATCGTTTTCTTAGATACGCCGGGGCACGCCGCTTTTACCGCGATGCGAGCACGCGGCGCACAAGTGACCGATATTGTCGTTCTTATTGTCGCAGCTGACGACGGAGTCATGCCTCAGACAATTGAGGCGATCAATCACGCAAGAGCCGCGAAGGTTCCAATTGTAGTCGCAATTAATAAAATAGATATGCCTGGGGCACGTGTAGACTACGTTAAACAACAATTGGCTACCCAGGAACTCCTACCAGAGGACTGGGGTGGACAAACAATTTGTGTTGAAACTTCCGCGATAGATGGAACTGGGATTGACTTTTTGCTTGAAATGCTCCTTTTGGAAGCTGCTCTACTTGAGCTCAAAGCAAACCCAAATAAGGCAGCACGTGGTGTTGTTATTGAAGCACAGGTTGACAAGGGACGCGGTGCCATCGCAACCGTTCTCGTACAGTCTGGTACATTGAGGGTTGGTGATGTTTTTGTTTCAGGTAGGTACTCCGGAAAAGTTAGAGCAATGATGGACAATTTCGGGAAACGGATGAAAGAAATTGGTCCTTCATGCCCTGTTGAGGTACTCGGTTTCACCGGCGTACCAGAAGCAGGCGACAAATTCTATGTCGTTGAATTCGATAAAGACGCACGTACTATCAGTGAAACCCGTCAGGACCGGTATCGCAATGAAAAACTCGGGGCAAATAGCCACGTCAGTTTGGATAACCTATTCCAACAAATTCAGGAAGGCGAGATTAAAGAATTAAACGTTGTTCTTAAAGGCGATGTGCAAGGTTCCGTACAAGCCGTCGCCTCATCACTGCTCGAATTGAGTGCCGATGAGGTTAAGATCAATATTATTCATCAAGCGGTCGGAGGGATCACCGAAACCGATATTTTGCTCGCCTCTGCTTCTGATGCAATTGTCGTCGGTTTCAATGTTCATCCTACGACCGAGGCAGTGCAGGCTAAAGAGACTGAGGGAATTGATGTTCGGACCTACAACGTCATTTATAATCTCATCTCCTATATCCATTCGGCTATGGAAGGCTTGCTTGATCCTGAGGTACGAGAAGTCGTTATCGGGCGTGCTGAGGTCCGTGAATTATTTAAGGTGCCACGCCGCGGTTTGGTTGCCGGTAGTTACGTCAATTGGGGGCGAATTTCCTTCAGCCAACCCCTTCGTATCCTTCGCGACAATCGATTGATTCACGAGGGTAAAGTCAATTCGCTTCGCCGGTTCAAGGATAATGTCAATGAGGTGCAAGCGAACTACGAATGTGGAATAGGAATTGAGACGTTCGATGATTTGAAGGTCGGTGATGTCCTTGAATGTTATGTTCACGAACATATAGCGCGCTCACTTTCATAAATTGGTTTTGTGCGTATAGTTGCGTATTTTCATAAGCGGTGCGGTGGTCAATCGCACCTACCGTTGACTGATACTTTCATGCACATCGGTGTTTGTAAGATCCATCTCCGAATTCCGGAAAGTCACTCGCTGAAAGCGAAACGTCGGGTTATCAAAAGCCTCATCGCGAGACTCAAAAACCGCTTCAACGTTGCTATTGCTGAAGTTGAGGCGTTGGAGGCACATCAGTTCGCCATATTAGCTGCCGTTTCAGTTTCCAACGATGTTGTACATCTGAATAAGGTTATTTCACATCTCATCACTTTTGTTGAGGCGCATGTAGATGCTGAATTAGTGGATTACGAAACGGAATTTTTCTTTTAATGAAGTTTGCAAGCCAAAACTTGCTGCAAGAGGAAGGATTGACATGGTAGATAATAGAAGGCAAGATCGGGTAGGAGCCCTCATTCAGCGAGAGTTAAGCGAGATTATCCAACGTTCTGTCAAGGATCCGCGCGTTGCGTTTTGTGCTGTCACACAGGCATCCGTGTCCCCGGATCTAAAGTATGTGGATGTGAAGGTGAGCGTTATCGGCGATGAGGAGCAGAAAAGCAAAACACTCGCGGGTTTAAAGAGCGCAGCGGGCTTCCTTAGGCGCGAGATCGGGAATCGTCTGACGCTTCGCTATTCGCCGGAGCTTCGGTTCGCTATAGATGAATCCGCTGACTATCTCTTCAAAATAGATGGACTCCTCAAGTCTGTTACAACCGATACAACCGAAGACGAAACGACAGAAGACCAAGACCACGAGCAGACACTTCATGAACACCCTACAGATGGCTAATACGCACGACTACGACGCACTCCTTACCCTATTTGACCGATACCATAACTTCGCGCTTTCAACGCACATTAATCCTGATGGTGATGCAATCGGTTCCGAATTGGGGCTTTACCTCTTTCTCACGAAGCTCGGGAAATCTGTTAAAATATTTAACACGGATATAGTACCCCCTAACTATCGATTTCTACCAGCTTGGGATAGTATTGAGAGCACGCATTCCATCGGGACATATTGTCCTGAGGTGTTGATTGTTTTGGACGCAAGTACGCTGGAGCGAATTGGAAAGAGGCTTTCCAAAACCTTGCATCCTATATACAGCCTCGTTAACATTGACCATCACGCCACTGCAGAGGCGTTCGGCGACATCAATCTCATTATACCTACAGCCTCTTCCACTTCAGAGATTGTTTACAAACTCATTAAACATCATCAATTCCCAATAGGTGAAGCATGTGCACTTTGTCTCTATACAGGACTGATGTTTGATACCGGCTGTTTTCGGCATAGTAATACCACAGCCGAGACGCATCGAATCGCCGCAGAATTAATTGAGATTGGCGGATTCACCCCAGATGAAGTTTATCGGAATGTCTATGAACAGGTTCCTGTTGCTAAGATACGCCTATTGAGTGAAGTCCTCAGCACATTGCAAATAACAGATGATGGAAAAATAGCATCGGTGTATGCAACACAGGCGATGTTTCGCAAAGCTGGAATGACTGCTGATGCGGTGGAAGGGGTTGTGAATCAGATTCAAGCAATAGCGGGTGTTGAGGTAGCACTCTGTGTGTCTGAGATGGCGGATCGAAGTACAAAAGTGAGTCTGCGGAGTCAAGGATACGTTGATGTTAGTCAACTTGCCGCAGAGTTTCAAGGGGGAGGACACGTCCGCGCCGCAGGATGTCGGATTGCCATGCCCTATCCATTAGCCATTGCTGCCCTTGTTCAAGCTTCACAACGCCACACTGATCCGGGGCACATGAGATATGGTGATTGCCAGAAGGATTGAGCGACGTGGAAAACGCCTGCAGTGGGAACGATCTACAGGTCGCAACCACACGCTATAGTCTAAACGACATATTTGAATTTGGCAGGGAGACTGCTGTCACTTTTGGCGTGTTTGATGGTATCCATGTTGGACACCAAGCGGTTATTAACACACTTCTTAAACGCGCTGCGCATGGTAACTTGATGAGTGTATTGGTCGGTTTTTACCCGCATCCACTTGCTTTCCTTGCCCCAGAACGATGTCCACCTATCCTAACCCCTCTCTCCAAGCGTGTCGAAATACTTCAACAATTTGGCATTGATGAAATTGTCATGCTCAGTTTTGACGCACAGATTGCATCAATGTCTCCTGAATCCTTTGTAGAATGTGTGCTCTTAGAGAAATGTCGAGCGAGGCACGTCGTTGTGGGGTATGCTTGCCAATTTGGAAAAAATCGTGCAGGTAATGCAGAACGATTGGTGGAGCTTAGCCAAGGATATGCGTTTGATGTTTCTATTGTTCCACCTACAGAGGTAGATGGCGCGCCAGTCCATAGCACTCGTATCCGAGAGGCACTCGCGCAAGGCGATCTTAAGCGGAGTTCACAGTTATTGGGACGTCCCTATTCCTTGATCGGCAATGTCGTTCATGGTGATGGCCGTGGGAGGGAAATTGGGTTTCCTACCGCGAATATAGAGACCCAGAATCAAGTCTGCCCCCCTAATGGTGTTTATGCCATCCGGGCAAAGTTAGAGGAACGGTGGTTAGACGGGGTATTGAACATCGGAATGCGTCCTACGTTTAACGGTGTCAATATTCAGGTGGAGGGACACTTCTTCAATTTTAATGAAGTCATCTACGGTAAACCTGTGGAAATATTCTTCGTAGAGAAGATTAGAAATGAACGGAAATTCCCAAGTCCAGAGTTCCTGATTCAACAAATACAGCGCGACATCGCAACAGCGAGGGAAATTCTCGCATCGCCTACCTCCTCATAAGTGATGCTGCTTAAACTTAGGCGCTGCCGTGGGATTGTGAGTTTAATTTGAATTTTGGGTTGATTTGTGATATTATATATGTATCAAATGTAGGTAAACAAGGGAGCGATCTCCCGAATACGATTTAGTTTTTATTCCATATAATGTTTTACAAAGCACTGATGGTTCGTAGAATTACCTTTACGAGATAACTCTATGTGGATTTTGCAAGTCCCTAAACTTGCTATTACAAAGTTAGTTGTTCTGCCAAAAGGAGGTGAACGTAATTGGCAATTGATGCAGCAAAGAAGAAGGAAGTGATCCAACAGCACCAGATACACGAACAAGACACTGGTTCCCCGGAGGCTCAAGTGGCAATTTTCAATGCGCGTATTCAAGAGTTGACTGAGCATTTTCGGACGCACCGAAAGGACCATCATTCGCGCTATGGACTTTACCGATTAGTTGGCAAGCAGCGCCGCTTGTTACGGTATCTTTACAAGAAAGACGCTACGCGCTATTACCGTTTAATTAATGAACTTGGAATGCGTGACACTATTGGAACGAGGAGTGGTTAGATTTTATATAGGTTCTGGGCGAGTTTGTCGCCTTGGTGCCAAGCGGGAAACGAATGAGTCTTATCTTGCGGTAAATGCCGTGAGACTTTGTCCGAATGCATTGTACGCAAATCGACGAGACATTTTTCGGATGAGGACTGTTCTTTAACCCCTTTTGACTGTCTTACTTGGTGGCACAACGAAATAAATAGGAAATACAGGAGTAGTACATAGAATGAAAGTTGAAATGCAACTTGGGAGCGAGAAGTTATCAATTGAAACCGGTAAAGTCGCGAAACAGGCAGATGGTGCCGTTTGGGTGCAATACGGTGGAACGGTTGTTTTAGTCACGGTGGTAGCCGATGATAGTGAACATGATCTCGATTTCTTTCCGTTAACAGTAGATTATCGTGAAAGGGCATACGCCGGTGGGCGAATACCGACAGTTTATGGTAGGCGCGAGCCGCGTCCAGGGACATCAGAGCAGTTGGTAGCTCGTTTAATTGACCACTGCATTCGCCCTCTTTTTCCAAAGGACTTCAAGGCTGAGGTACAGGTTTTATGTAACGTGTTTTCATCGGATGGTATTCATCCCGCGGACGTTCCCGCCCTTATCGGGACTTCTGCAGCATTAGCGATTTCCGATATACCCTTTAACGGACCTGTCGCTGCTGTCACCGTCGGAAAAGTTGAAGACAGGTTAATCATTAATCCTACTTACGAAGAATTGCATGCCTCAAGTATGGAATTGTTCGTAAGTGGCAAGGCAGATGCTGTTATGTCTGTTGAAGGCGGTGGACATGAAATTCCTGAAGATGAAGTCATTGACACAATTATCGCCGCCCACGCGCAGATACAAGAGGTCATCAAACTTCAAGAAGGGTTAGCCGCAGGTTGCAGTAACACAAAACGCGACTATGCCTCTAAAAGTGTTGCGTCTAATCTCAGTAGCCGTGTCCGGGATCTCGCCACTTCCCGCATTCGAGAATCTATCGGGATGGCAGACAAGAAGTTGCGTGAGGATTATCTCGGAGAGGTGCAGGAAGCGGTACTCTCAGAAATGCTTGAGGATACACTTGAGGAAACCGATCCGAATGCAACAAAAGATACCATCTCCATCTTAAGTGAAATCGAGAAAGAAGAGATGCGTGAAGCGATTCTCTCCGAGGGGAAACGCGTTGATGGTCGCGGTCTAACCGACATTCGCTCGATTTCAGGAGAAGTGGCGTTGCTCCCGCACACCCATGGCTCCGCTCTCTTTAGCAGAGGACAGACACAGGCACTCTGTGTGACAACACTCGGTACATCCGGCGATGAAGACGTACAACGCGGACTTGATGGCGAAGCAAGACGCGCCTTCTATTTACATTATAACTTCCCGCCATTCAGTACCGGTGAAGTCAAACGCATGATGGGACCCGGACGCCGGGAAATCGGGCACGGGTCACTCGCGCAAAAGGCACTTGAATCGGTCATCCCGAGTAAAGAAGAATTTCATTACACCATTCGGATCGTCTCCGAGATTTTGGAATCTAATGCCTCATCTTCAATGGCAACCGTCTGCGGTGCAACACTCGCACTGTTAGATGCAGGCGTGCCAATTAAAAGACCCGTCGCAGGGATCGGTGTCGGTCTTATCAAGGAAGGCGAACAGGAAGCCATCCTTACTGATATGCTCGGAACTGAAGATTTTCTCGGCGACATGGACTTCAAAGTAGCCGGAACCAGTGAAGGTGTCACCGCCGTACAGATGGACATCAAGATTGAAGGTGTCACGCCTGAGTTGATGCGTCGGGCAATTCATCAGGCAAGAGAAGCACGCCTTGCCGTCATCGAACAGATGAACGCTGTGATAGCTGAACCGCGTGCGGAATTGTCACCCTACGCTCCTCGAATTTATTCCCTTCAAATTGCGACGCAGAAAATCAAAGACCTCATCGGTCCGCGTGGTAAAACTGTGCAGGGCATCCAGGAAGAAACAAGCACGACCATCAATATCGAAGATGATGGGACTGTCGAAATTGCCGCGACAAGTGCTGAGAATGTCAAACGCGCAGAAGAGAAAATTCGAGCAATCACCGCTATGCCTGAGATTGAAAAAGAATACACCGGGAAAGTGGTCCGAACAGCACCTTTTGGAGCATTTGTGGAAATCTTGCCGAACAAGGATGGACTTGTTCATATTTCACAGATGGGTGATGGGTATGTCCGTCGTGCCGAGGATGTTATGCAGGTTGGTGACGAGGTTACCGTCCGCGTTCTCACTATTGACGAACAGGATCGCGTAGATCTAACACTTGTTGCTGTAGGGGACGTGCCTGTTGCAGAACTGACTGTTGAATCAAATGAGGATCGCGAAGCCTCGCCCGATTGGAATGCTTCCAGAGAACCCCGTGATTCCGGACGCCCTAACTACCGTGATAATCGAGATTCTCGTGAGTCCCGTGGTGGTGAAAGACGCTCTAATGACACACGCGAACGGCGTGGAGGTCGGTATGACCAACGGGATAATTCTCGCGACCTCCGTAATCAACGCTCACCACGCATTCCCAAAGGACGCTCTCGGTAGTAGGAACGCATTGTAACTAACCAATTCACATAGAAACGAAATAGGGTGAAGGACGGTTCCTTTGCCCTATTTCTATGTTTAAACCCCTATATCATCAGTTAATCGGTTTGGAAACCCAATCCTTTAGGTTTGGGTGCCTTGACTAGACTTTATGTAAGTGAAACGTGAGTTCGATATATGCCTTGGTTCCCGTAGGTTGGGTAGAACGGTCATCAAACGGTCATCAAAGGTGTGCCTCTATTCTTCCAAGAGAACGGCTGCTTTTGAGTAGACTCGTGTTGAAAATATGTCGAGTGAAACCCAACGCATTGCGAGACCTGGAGCTTTGGCGTGTTGGGTTTCGCTATGTCTATCTTCTTCAACGGTTGATTGCGCATCAAAGTTGTGTGTATACCTGAAGGGTATTTGGTCTTTTACCGCTCTACCCAACCTACGTGTACACTTCTATTTTTAGTATCGAACTCACGTTAAGTGAACGTATAGACGGAGCGAATTAAAAATTTTGCATGTTCCCTGTTTTTATGCTATAATATGAATATCATAAGCAATCCGAATCTTTGACAAGGACGATACAGCCGCCCGTATAGACGAAGTAAAACACACTACTGACATGAGGGCAAACCGATGAAATCACGACGTATTTTAGCTAAGCACGCCTTTGATAAAGGAGATTTGCTCGATCAGAAATGGCTAACCTATCTTTTAGCCATTGTTCTAATACTCCTTGTGCTCGTCTTTGTTGTTCTATTGTCGCCTACTTATAAACGGTATGTTGTTGATACTGTTAAATCTGTGTTTTATGGTGGAAAACAGACAACACCACGACCGAAAGCTGCTCCAGTAAAGTTTCAGCGATCTGTACTAACGAATGGTCTGATGTTTTAACAGGAATGGACAAAACCGTGACAATTAGGAGACAAGAAACTAACTTTTGGGCACCAGTCGGATCCTATTTTCCGACAAAACTCCGGAGAGAAAAATGTCTAAAACGTTGTTCATCTTAGTATTACCGATATTGCTAAGTTTGATCGCTGGGTGCGGTTATGTTTCCAAATCAGAGTATCTGGAGCATATCTCAACCATTCGTATCACACCTATTGAAATCCTGGATGCAGATTTTGCTTATGATAACACCTCCCAGCGTCCTTATGATGAAGTAATTCATGAGAAACTCATCGAACGTTTCAACCGGAAATGGCGAGACGGAAACGATGCCGAATTTACGATGCGGATACAGGATTACAATGTAAGGGAGCACGGATTTGGATCTAATGGTGAAGTTGAACTCGTGCGGATGACGCTTCAGATAGAGTATCAATTTATAGATAGAGTCCGAAACCAAATTATTGAGGAAAGTGATAACTATCTCCAGGTTCACGATTACTATATTGTTCCGAATCGGGCTGAACCGATGGAAAGTGGTGAACAAGCCAGAAATCTTATTGTAGAAGAGTTGATCGAGGACCTTTACAACCAGCTTGCTGAGCAGTGGTAACAGAATACAGCGCGGGAGCCTTCGCCTGAATGAACCGTAAGACAGGACATCCTTTTCAAAAACTTCATCGTTTCTCACTTTGCGTGACCTTTTTCTGCAGTTTGGTGCTGATTTCGTGCAGTGAAGAACACGGAAATTGGACAGCTGTTCAACAGGAGGGCGAGTATATCTACGGGGTCTGGCACAGCACTACACTGAAGAGAGCGGAACAGGTGATGCAGGAGGTCTTTGAAAACATTAGAGGCGCGTCGACACTGCCGACAGAATCGCTAACGGTGAAAGACATTGGACAAACAAATATTTCGCCTGAGCTTCTCTTACCGAGCGATGGTGAAATATTGGATTGGGTACAGTCGCGTGCACCGTCAACCTACGAAGGCAAAACCCTCTATCGGGATAGAGCTGAGGCACCGGATCTTTTCTACGCTTACGGTTTCCAACGGCAGGCGGAGGTGGAATACCAAGCACCTCGATTCGGTTCAAAGCCTTTGATTTTGCTCGAAATTTTCGATATGGGCACCCCTGAAAATGCATTTGGGATTTATAACTTTCACATCTATCCGCAAGTAAAATTTGAATGGGTGGGCAGCAAGGCGATGCTTTCGGGCGGGTATCTCCGGTTTTCAAAAGGGAAATATTTTATTCAGATCGAAGGCTACGAATTCGCGACCGGTATTCGTGAAGCGATGGTCCTGCTCGCAAAAGATATCGCCGCACGGATTAAAGAGCCTGCTCCAGAACCACAAATACTATCCTTACTCCCAAGCAATAAGATGCGTGGAACCGTCAAGTTATTCCGATCGAATTGGGTGTTGCGTCAGATCTACAGCACGTTGCCCGTCAATGTGCCACAATTGAGTGATACAGCACTCGGAGTATCCGCTCGCTATCGGGATAACCCAGATTTAAAAAATTGGACGGAATCCCAGATCATTTTTATCATCCGTTTTCCCGACCCTTCTGCGGCGGAATCTGCCTATACCATTTACCGAGATTCCGTGATGGAGGCAGCGCTGCCTCTTGAAATTGGCACAACTGGACCGATTCTTGTGAACGAGCCTTTGGCTCCATAGGTGAACAGACTTTTAACAGCAAGTTTTGACTTGCAAGCTGCGTCAAAAAAGGAGTTTCTCATGCGAGGAGATTTTGAAGCCTATCTTAATGATTCATTTCGTGATGAAAATGGAAACCTTGATTTAGCAGCGTTGTTGGCGTTAGAGGATGAAGCCGACATGGACGTTGCGGTTATTATGCCGAATACCCAGCCTCTCCCCGAAAATAATGAGCTTGCCGACGCGATTCGCGGTAATTCGCGCGCACTTGGCTGTGCCCTCGTGCATCCAACGGAACCAGAACCCGTTGAGCAGGTTAGGTTAGCAGCCGAGGAATGGGGAATGCGCGGGATCAAACTGATGCCTGCGGTTCACAAATACGATGTGGATGATGAAATGGTGCGTCCCGTTGTTGAAGCTGCCCGTGATTACGGGCTTATTGTCTCAATTCATTCCGGACCTGACAATTGCCATCCAAACCGGATTGGCACTGTGGCAAGCTGGGTGCCAGAAACCCCGGTTATCATGGATCACATGGGATTTCCAGACGATTTAGATTCGGCTATCTCTATCGCAAAAGCCAACGAAAATATCTCGTTGGGAACTACTATTTTACGCTTTCATCGGCGTTGGGGGACGGATCCAGATGCCGTTGTTCCAACGGAAGTAAAAGCCGCTGTTGACGCGCTTGGACCTGAGCAGATAGTCTTCGGTTCTAATTTGCCTGAGTACCGTCCTATTCAGGTTATCAACGCCCTCAAACGGTTGGAACTCGGCGATGATGCCGAAGCACAGATTTTCGGTGGAAATCTCGCTCGTATCTATGGATTTTAAATACTAATGAAGCGAACACCCCTTTATGAGGTCCACAGAAACCTCAATGCTAAATTTACCGAATTCGGCGGTTGGGAGATGCCCCTTCAGTATAGCAGCATCGTTACGGAACATTTGGCTGTCCGAAGCATCGCCGGTTTGTTTGACTTGTCGCATATGGGAGAGATTGAAGTTTCTGGACAGGGGGCGGACGAATTGGTGCAGAAGCTCAGCACGAACGATGTGAGTCGTTTAAGCGATGGGCGTGTGTTGTATACCCTATTCTGCAATGAAACAGGCGGAATAGTTGACGACCTACTCGTTTACCGACATGCTGATAATCACTATATGCTGGTGGTCAACGCCGCCAATATTGAAAAAGATCTGGCATGGGTGGAGACCTGTAACGATACAGGTGCAGAGGTAAAAGACATGTCCGAGGACATGGCTCTCATTGCACTGCAGGGTCCAAAGGCAATAGATCTTCTGAATCCTTTCGTTCCTGAACGAGATGTCTCCGAGATCCCGTATTTTCGATTTACAACGGGTGACGTCGCTGGTGTCCCTACTGCTATTTCGCGTACGGGTTATACTGGGGAAGTTGGCTTTGAGTTATATGTTCCTGCGGCATACGCCGAACGTTTGTGGACTGCTCTGTATCCTGCCGTCATCGCAGTAGGAGGACAACCGGTGGGGCTTGGTGCGCGCGACACCTTACGTCTGGAAGCTGGGCTCCGCCTCTACGGTATGGACATGAATGACGACACGAACCCGTTTGAAGTTGGGCTGGGTCGGTTCGTCAAATTTAAGAATCGACAATTTATCGGCAAAAGTGCACTCCTTGCACACAAAAGAAAGGGCATCACGAAGCATATAATTGGATTTCAGATGCTTGACCGTGCTGTAGCACGTGCCGGTTATGCTATTTATCAAGGCGATGAACGCATAGGTAGCGTGACCAGCGGTACCCCTTCACCGAGTCTTAAATGTAGTATAGGCTTCGCTTCTATTGAATCACAGGCAGTGCCTGAAAATGAAAAAATTGATGTGGAAATTCGAGGTAAACTGCACCCCGCCATAATTGTGGAGGTGCCTTTTGTTTCAATAGGAACGTAATTATATATAAACATACGATAGAGAACACAATATGATTTCACAAGACTTAAGATACATGGAAAGCCATGAATGGGTTAAACAAGAGGGAGACATCGCTACCATTGGTATCAGCGATTATGCCCAATCCGAAATTCAGGATATCGTCTATGTTGAATTGCCCGAAGTTGGCACTGAACTCACACAGAAAACGGAGTTCGGTGTGATAGAGTCTGTCAAGGCGGCATTCGACCTCTATGCGCCTGTCAGTGGTGAGGTCATTGAGATCAACGAATCGCTTCTCGACGCACCGGAACAGGTGAATGCGTCTCCGTACGATGAAGGTTGGTTCCTCAGAATCAGAATGACTGACGCTAACGAACTTGACGCACTTCTTGATGCCGATGGTTATCAGGCGCATATTGAGGCGGAGCATGCTTGAAAAACAGGAAAACGGAAGATCCTTCGCAAGTCGGCACATCGGTCCTCGTCCGGAAGATATTGAACTAATGTTGTCAACGCTCGGTTATTCTTCAATCGGGGATTTCATTGAAGATGTTGTACCAGCGGACATTCGTTTATCGTCGCCTTTCAGTTTGAATGAAGATGCGTGTGGCCCAGGGCGTAGCTTGCAAGCCCATATTGCAAAGTCAGAGCCGGAGGTGCTTGCCGCACTAAAGAAAGTTGCTTCCCAAAACCAAGTCTTTCGCTCTTTTATTGGGATGGGATACTATAATTGCTTTGTTCCGCCAGTCATCCAGCGAAACATTCTGGAAAACCCGGTTGGTATACCCAATACACACCTTATCAAGCCGAGATTTCACAGGGACGTTTGGAGGCATTGCTTAACTTCCAAACAATGGTGATTGATTTAACCGGTTTACCTGTCGCGAATGCTTCGCTTTTAGATGAGGCAACAGCCGCCGCTGAGGCGATGGGGATGTGCCTCGCCTTCACCAAACAGAAAACATGCCGCGATTTTTTCGTTTCTGAAACCTGTCATCCACAAACTATTGCTGTTTTGCAGACGCGTGCTGAGCCTCTCGGCATTCGATTGACTATTGGGGACCATAGAAATGCGGCGTTTGACGCGCCAATCCTTGGTGCTATCGCACAATACCCCGCAACTGATGGCGCGATTTACGATTACAGCGAATTTGCGGAACGAGTGCATGCCGCTGGCGGTTTATTCGTTACTGCCACAGATCTGTTAGCATTGACCCTTTTACGTCCACCTGGTGAGTTTGGAGCAGACATTGCTATCGGTAGCACACAGCGATTCGGGGTTCCGCTCGGTTATGGCGGTCCGCACGCTGCCTTCCTCGCTACCCGTGAGAAACTAAAGCGACAGATACCCGGAAGGATTGCGGGTGTTTCTCAAGATGTGACCGGCAAACCAGCTATCCGCTTAGCACTCCAAACGCGGGAGCAGCATATCCGACGTGAAAAAGCGACGAGTAACATTTGCACGGCGCAGGTACTACTCGCTGTGATGGCGGGGATGTATGCGGTCTATCATGGACCCACCGGACTTAAGCATATTGCTGAACGCGTCCACTCCCTCACTTACACATTACGTACCGGGCTTGAAGAACTTGGGTTTACAACGGGGAAATCACCCTGTTTTGACACCCTCTCTGTTGGTGCTCCGTTGGGAACAGCGGAGGAGTTGTTCGACGCTGCCCGGGCAAAACAAATCAATCTTCGGGCAATTGATTCAACACATATTGGCATCTCTTTAGACGAAACAACGACATCTGTCGATGTTGAAGAAATCCTGCAAGTATTTGGTGGGCGGACAAGTTTGGAAAGCATACCTACAAGTGAAATTCCAATAGATTTACAACGAAAGAGTTCCTACCTAACGCACCCTGTGTTCAATAGTTACCATTCTGAAACCGAGATGCTTCGCTATATCCACAAGCTTCAAACCAAGGATCTTTCCCTTGTGAATGCCATGATACCTCTCGGTTCTTGTACGATGAAACTCAATGCTACGGCGGAGATGGTCCCAGTGACGTGGAACGAATTTGGCGGACTGCACCCGTTCGCGCCGCGAGAGCAAGCGGAGGGGTATCAGACTCTATTTTCACAGTTGGAAACGTGGTTAGCTGAGATAACAGGTTATAGTGGTATCTCATTGCAGCCGAATGCGGGTTCACAAGGTGAATACGCAGGACTGTTAGTCGTCCGAAAATACCACCAGAGCCGCGGTGAGTCGCATCGCGATGTGTGTTTAATACCAACATCTGCTCACGGCACAAATCCTGCGAGTGCTGTGATGGCAGGTATGCAAGTTGTCGTTGTCGCGTGCGATACGGATGGGAATATTGACCTCGAAGATCTCCAATTAAAAGCTGACAAGCATCGTGAGAATCTTGCTGCTGCCATGATTACATACCCGTCAACACACGGGGTCTTTGAAGAGAAAATTCGAGAGATTTGCGATATTGTTCATCAATCCGGTGGACAGGTCTACATGGACGGTGCGAATCTGAATGCCCTTGTTGGAATCGGGCAGCCGGCAGATATTGGAGCGGATGTGTGCCATTTGAATCTCCACAAAACTTTCTGTATCCCACACGGCGGCGGTGGACCGGGGATGGGACCCATTGGGGTCAAGGCGCATCTCAGAGATTTCTTGCCCACACATCCACTTGTCACTGTCGGTGGTGATGCTGGAATTGGTGCTGTGTCTGCTGCCCCCTGGGGAAGTTCAGGAATTCTGCCTATCTCTTGGGCATATATTGCGATGATGGGGACGCAGGGGCTTACGGCAGCAACAGAAGTTGCGATCCTTAACGCTAACTATATTGCCAAACGGCTCGCACCACATTATCCTGTCCTTTATACTGGAAAAAACGGCTTAGTTGCTCACGAATGTATCATTGATTTGCGTGCCTTCAAGAAAAGTGCCGATATAGATGTGACCGATGTCGCAAAGCGACTGATGGACTACGGGTTCCACGCACCGACTGTCTCCTGGCCCGTACCGGGGACGATGATGATTGAACCGACAGAAAGCGAATCGAGGGCGGAGTTAGAGCGGTTCTGTGACGCTCTCATTTCAATACGTGAAGAGATTACGGAGATTGAGGCGGGCATTGCTGATCAGGTAGACAATGTATTGAAGAATGCGCCTCACACCGTAGAAATGGTTACACAATCTGAGTGGGATCATTCCTATTCACGTGAAAGAGCCGTGTTTCCGAAACCTTGGGTCCGCGAGGCTAAATTTTGGCCCGCAGTCGCACGTATCAATGAGGTTTATGGGGATAGGAATCTTATGTGCACCTGCCCACCCGTTAGTGAATATTAAGGACAAAAACAAAAAGCGTACATGGATCAGACCCTGTTGACTTAAGCGAAAACCACTGTGAAACGCGAAGGGGCGAGGTGACCTCGCCTGTAGCAGAACGGTAACCAGATTTATTTAGTAGTTAAAAAAATGAAAGCAATAATTATAGGTGCGGGAGAGGTTGGGTTTCATATTGCCAAACTTCTCACTGCCCAAGATAACGATGTTGTTCTTATTGATGAATCCGATGCTGCCTGCGACCGGGTTAATGAACAATTAGACTTGCAAACGCTGCACGGATCGGGGCATCTCCGCGCCTTCTCAAAACCGCTGGGATTGACGAAGCTGATCTCCTCATTGCCGTTACGAATAGCGATGAGATTAATATACTCGCTTGTCAGATAGCCGGCAGGTACGGCGTCAGCACAAAAATTGCACGTGTCTCAAATCCTGACTACTTCTCCACGGAAAGTGGACTCACTCCTAAAGATTTCGGCATTGATCTTCTGGTGAATCCAGAGCAGCGTTGTGTTGCTGAATTTGTACGGCTCTTGCAGATACCTGAGGCGAGAGAGATTGTCGAATTTGACGATGGAAAAGTCCAACTTGTTGCCTTTCGTACCAAACAGTCAAACCCCTTGATAGGAAAATCGCTTGCAGAATTGGACGCAAGTGGTCTTCTCGCGGATATCCGCTTTGCTGCCATTAGTCGTTATGGGATCTCTAATAACGGCAACCCGATCAGTAATGGCAACAGGCACATTATCATTCCGAGAGGTGCTGATGCTTTGCAACAAGGGGACGAGGTCTTTGTCATCGGCAGTGCGTTAGCAGTTGAGCAATTGTTACGTATTAGTGGTATTACATTTAATCAGCAGCTTGACCGCGTTATCATTGTTGGCGCGAGTCCTATCGGCATTGGGATCGCTCGTACACTTGAAGAAAACGGCACCAACGTCAAACTCATTGAAGCCGATCAAACACAAGCACGACTGGCATCCCAAATGCTAAAGCGTACCACCGTTTTACAAGGCGATTATCTCCAATTCAGACTCCTTGAAGAAGCAGGTATAGAGGGTGTTAACGGATTCGTCTCCGTTACAGGGGACGATGAAAACGATATTATGGCATGTATGACTGCCAAAGAGAACGGTGCCCAGCGTGTACTCGCGCTCGTTCAGCGACCACGTTATCTCCCTTTATTGGCACGTATTCCGAGACTTGATGGCGCCGTCAGCCGACATCTCACTGTTGTTAGCAACATTCTGCGGCTCATCCGTCGTGGAAATATAGTTTCTGTTGCCTCGCTCCATGGTATAGATGCGGAAGCCATTGAAATTGTTGCCGGAGTCAACGCGAAAATAGTCCACAAGGAACTCTCCTCTTTCAAAACAAAATTTCCAGGCAATGCCTTTATCGGCGCCGTTATTCGACGGGAAAAACTCATTATTCCAACCGGTAAATCTGTTATCCAACCCGCAGATCGCGTTATCGTCTTTAGTATGCCCGATGCGATTCCAATTGTCGAAGACTTGTTCGCCGAACGTCGAATCTAAAAGAGTGTATCGGCTTGCATTTTTCTAAGTCATGAGTCTTAAATTAATCGTTTATACGCTTGGTAATTTACTTATCTGTCTCGCGGGAACGATGCTGCTTCCTTTGGGAGTGGCTATCTATTATCAGATAAGGGTAGGTGAAACCGAGAGCAATTTGACGGCGTTCGTCGTCTCGGCAATACTCACCTTAGTTGTTGGTTTAGTTCTCCGTTTTAGTATACGCGCCTGGCAGGAAGAACTCGGCATACGCGAAGGCTTTGCAGTTGTCGCTTTGGGATGGGTGACAGTCGCCCTCTTTGGTTCGCTCCCTTACATATTTGCAGATGTGTTTTACATGGATGGGCGCTCCTTGTGGACAAAGTTTTCCTTCTGTTATTTTGAATCTATGGCGGGTTTCTCAACCACAGGAGCCACTGTCCTCACAGAAATTGAGCATCTTTCACACGCTATGCTCTTCTGGCGGAGTCTTTCCCACTGGCTCGGTGGGATGGGAATTGTTGTCCTTGCCGTAGCGATTCTTCCAATGCTCGGCATCGGTGGTATGCAGCTTTTTCGTGCCGAGGCACCCGGACCGCAGACCGATCGACTCACCCCCCGTATTGCACAAACCGCTAAACTTCTCTGGGGCGTTTATCTCCTGCTCTCTCTTTTAGAAACGGTGCTGCTAATGTTCGGGGGAATGTCGCTTTTTGACGCGCTCTGCCATACCTTTGGCACGATGGCGACCGGTGGATTTTCGACGAAGAACCTTAGCATCGGACACTACAATAGTGTTTATATTGACATGGTCATCAGTTGCTTCATGTTTCTCGCTGGGACCAATTTCGCCCTTCATTATCGCGCCCTTCGAGGCGATGTTAAAGCCTATTTCCAAGATGCAGAATTCAAATTCTACTGTATCGTTATCGCAGTGAGTATTACCTTAATTTCATGGAATACAATCAGGTTTCAAGTCGATGGGGATATCCCTTATGATTCGATGTGGACATCGCTGCGTTATGCTACATTTCAGGTCATGTCTATCATTACAACTACTGGCTATGGGACTGCTGACTTTGAGCAATGGCCCGCCCTCTCCCAATTCATTTTGGTGATACTTATGTTCTACGGCGGTTGTGCGGGTTCCACCGGTGGAGGTATAAAGCAGGTTCGGTTCCTACTTCTCATCAAACAGAGCGGTGCCGAAATTAAACGCCTGATCTTCCCCCATGCCGTGCTTCCTATTCGCGTTAACGATCGAGTGGTACCACCCGAAGTGATGACCAATGTTCTCGGTTTCTTTTTCTTTTTCATCGGAATTTTTGCGATTGTAACATGCCTTATGGCAACTTTGGGGCTTGATCTCATTAGTGCCGCCGGGGCGACAATCGCTACGATGGGAAACATCGGTCCCGGTCTCGGCAGCGTCGGACCGACTGATAACTACGCACATATTCACACGGCTGGTAAATTTGTTCTATCCTTCTGCATGTTACTCGGACGTTTAGAACTTTATACCGTGCTTATCCTCTTTTCACCGAATTTCTGGAAAAGGTAGACAGCCCGCGGTTTTTTTAATTTTACCTTGCGGATAAGTAACGTGGTCTGTAATTTGAAAGTTTTTGATTTCGAGTCGCCCTCCACTACGTTACGGGCTTGCGGTTCGATTTTAAGAAGAATTTTCAGAATACTCAAAAACCTGCGCGTAATGAAATTATGCCTTAAATGGCATAATTTGTCTTTGCTTTACATTTGGAGCGCAGGGCGAAAACCCAATAATTAAAAAAATGTAATGGAGCGCAACCCAGGAGACCATAGTTAAAAAAATGGACACCGATAAATTACGCAGAGAATATAGAGCACAGAGTGGACATCTGCTTGAAGAGAACGCCTCGTCCGATCCGTTTGAACAGTTTGAGCAATGGTTCGCAGATGCGATTGCCGCTAAACTTGATTTGCCGGATGCTATGACGTTAGCAACGGCAACGCCACAAGGGATTCCATCTGCCCGAATGGTGGTACTCAGAGGCTTTGATGCGAACGGTTTCTGTTTCTACACTGACTATGAGAGCCAAAAGGGAAAGGAACTCGCGGAGAATCCGAACGCCGCGTTGGTGTTCTATTGGCGTGAACTCGACCGGCAAGTTCGGAGTACGGGTATTGCTGAGAAGATGAGTGCTGAAGAATCAGATGCCTATTTCGCCAGCCGTCCCGTCGAGAGTCAACTCGCCGTGCAGACAGAACGCCAAAGTCTTGTGATTGCGGGACGAGAGCACCTTACAGAGGGATTCCAACGGGCAGAGCAGACATATTCACAGGATACTATTTCACGACCGCTTCATTGGGGTGGGTACCGACTCGTGCCGAACCTGTTTGAATTTTGGCAAGGGTGTCCAAGCCGCCTTCATGATAGGCTCTGTTATACGCTATTGCCCGATGGAGCATGGGAGATGAAACGCTTGTCGCCGTAGATCCAAAGAGAATCTGGATATGTCAGGTTCCCCTTGACGTACCTTCCAAAAACCTGCTATCATACCCCTATGCCGCGACTCACCCTCAAACCCAGCCACAAAGCAGTCCGAGACTACTACGCCACGCTGCAGCAATACGATAAACACGACATCACGCACGAAGGCGCGGTCAGCAACCCCTTCGCTTTCTTACTCGATGCCTGCGCAAAGCAGATGAACGCCACACTCGTTCCCCAATACCCAATGCGCGCCCCAAAAGGAAATCGCATCGTTATCGACGGCGCAATCATCGACGAATACGGACTCCCGCTCGCCTACTGGGAAGCGAAGGATATAGACGACGACCTCTCAAGGTCCGTGCAGGAGAAACGCGAGGCTGGCTACCCGCTCGACAATATCCTCTTCCAAACCCCACAACGCGCCATCCTGTATCAAAACGGACGTGAAGCACTTGATCTCGACATCACCGAACCCGCAAACTTAATTGCGGCACTCCAATACCTATTCGCTTACGTCCCACCCGCGCTCGAAAACTGGCAGACCGCTGTCACCGACTTCAGAGAACATGTACCCGACCTCGCAAACAAACTAAAAGAACTCATTGAGCAACGCCACGAAACCGACCCAGCCTTCAAAAAGGCGTTCACCGATTTCTACGAAATCTGCCGCACCTCCATCAACCCCGAACTCTCACAGGATGCCGTCGAGGAGATGCTTATCCAACATATCCTCACCGAACGCATCTTTCGCACCGTTTTCAACCGGTCAGACTTTACAAGCCGAAATATCATCGCTGTCGAGATTGAAAAAGTCAGTGCCGCGCTCATGCGTTATGCAATGAGTCGTGACGTGTTTCTTGAGCCTTTAGATCGGTTTTATACTGCCATTGAGCAGGCCGCGACGCTCTGCCAAGACTTCTCCCAAAAACAGTACTTCCTCAATACGTTTTACGAGAAGTTCTTCCAAGGGGTTCTCCGAGGATGTGGCGGACACACACGGCATCGTCTACACGCCGCAACCGATCGTCGATTTCATGGTGAAAAGTGTGGCACACATCTTGGAAACCGAGTTCGGTCGGTCGCTGTCGGATACCGGCGTGCATATCATCGATCCGTTTGTCGGGACGGGTAACTTCATCGTCCGACTTATGCAGGACATCCAAGGCACGGCGTTAGAGGCGAAATACCGCCACGAACTCCACTGCAACGAGGTGATGCTCCTACCCTACTACATCGCCAGCCTGAACATCGAGCAAGAATTCTTCCAACGGACGGGGACGTATCTGCCGTTTGAGGGGATCGCACTTGCGGATACGTTTGAGTTGCTTGAGCAGCAACAGACAGAATTCTTCACACAGGAAAACACGAGAACGGGTGGAGAGACAGAAGGCGGCGGATATGTTCGTGGTCATCGGCAACCCACCTTACAACATGGGGCAGGTTAACGAGAACGATAACAACAAAAATCGGAAGTATGAGTTATTGGACGAGCGGATTGCAGAGACCTATGTAAAAGGCTCTAAAGCAACGCTTAGAAATAAACTCTACGATCCGTATGTGAAAGCGATCAGATGGGCATCAAAGACGAATGGAAGGAAGGGTTGTCGTCTTGTGAAACAAACAACGGTTTTCTGACGTGCGGCTTGACGGATGCGGAACACCTCGCAGACGATTTCGACGCAATTTACATTTTGGATCTCGGTGGGAACGTCCGTAGAATCCGAAAGTTGTCGGGGACAACACACAAAGTCTTTGGGATTCAGATCGGGGTGAGCATTAATCTTTTTATTAAGAGAAATGCCATCAGACAGATTCGACTGCTCGAAAAAGCACGAAATCTTCTATGCCCATGTTGATGAATTTTGGCGGAAGGAAGAGAAGTATAACTATCTCAATCAAAGAGCATACCAAAACGTTGATGGCAAGCCAATACACCTGATAGTCGATATACGTGGCTCACCGAAGGACTCCATGCTGAATTTGACACCTTGCTCCGATGGGAGACTAAGAACTCACGAAGGGAAGGAACTGCAGAAAAGACACTTTTTACTTTCACACTCGGTGTGATGCACGAAGATATCATGGGTTTACATTCCGCGAAATTCCTCAACAAAACGTGACAACATATGATGAGTATTTACAACACACGTTTCAATGGGGAAGCGAAGAACAGAGTTAAGATGTGAGTTTGATAGATACGAATGATCCAAGATTAAGTGGACGCGGAGTGATCCTAAAGTATGAGAACGCACAGCGGAGATCTTTCATGAAAAATCGAAATCTGTACTCGACCATTTACAGAAATGACCTCTCTCTTCGATCGGATGAGAATGACGTGTACGTGTTCCCTCATTTTTCCGACATCTGATGCGAAAACAGAAAACCGGACATCTGTGTAGTTCCCCGAGACAAACACTCCTTTCACACACTTGATGTTGATGCAATTCAGATTTCCATTTCTTACAGGCGATTCTCAATGCTTCCCCTTCTACACTTACGACGAGGACGGCACCAACCGACAAGAGAACATCACCGATTGGGCGTTGGCGGAATTCCGAACCCACTACGCCGACGACACCATCACCAAATGGGACATCTTCCACTATAACTACGGTCTCCTGCACCACCCCACCTATCGTGAGAAATACGAGGCAAACCTCAAGCGCGATCTCCCGCATATCCCCTTCGCCGAAGACTTTGGGGATTCGCCAACGCAGGCGCGGCGTTAGCCGATCTCCACGTCAACTACGAATCCGTTCCCAAATACGACAGCTGAAATATATCGAAACGCCGGGGATGACAGTCGATTGGCGCGTCGAGAAGATGAAATTATCCAAAGACAAAACGCAGCTGAGATACAACGATTTCCTGACAGTGGACGGCATCCCGCCAGAGGTGTATGACTATCGGCTCGGAAATCGTTCTGCGTTGGAGTGGGTGGTGGATCAGTACCGCGTCAAGGTAGACAAACGGAGCGGGATTGTGAACGACCCGAACCGTGACGATGAGCCGCGGTATATCGTGGATCTGATTGCCCGCGTCATCACCGTCAGCCTGAAAACCGTGGAGATCGTCAAAAATTTACCCACGTTGTAACCCCGTGCTGGTTGAGCGGTAAGAGTTCCAGAACCTTCTATTTGTACCGAAGATCCTGATTTTCAATGACCTGTTGGTATACATAGAGATAGCGAAACCCAACAACCCAACTTGAAGCGGCTTTAACCTCGAGAGGAGGATCATTATGAAATCTGTAACTATTGTAGTAGTGCTTTTTCTCCTGCCTTTCTCTGTCTTGGCAGGGACATTTCTGGAAACCTTTGATCACAAAGACTGGGGGACTGGCAGGAGCTTGTCCAAGTGAATAAGGATCCCGGTGTTTGGGACGTTGTTGACGATGAACTTCACGCCGTAAGTCATGAGACATTTCTGCGTCTGCTCACAACGGGTGATGACACATGGGAAGATTACACAATTGAATTTGATGTTAAGCCGCTGAAGAAACACGGTAGGAGTGCTATAGCGATTGCAGCGCGGGTTAAGGGAAGCGTGTTATTCTACTGTAGTTTTGCCGATCCGGTGGTACTGGTTAATGACGATCCTCTCCTCGGATCATGGGTGGATTGTGTGACAGGCGATTTGCACGGTGTAAAGTTTCCCACTCCTTTACGCTGGGCGCCATCCGCTTTTAAAATTGAACAAGTGGTCGCATCTAAAGTTAAGCGTTAAGGGGGAACACTTCATTTTAGGGTTAAATGGTAAGAACATTGTGGAAACCGGAGATGACTTTGTTGTAAAGGATGGAGATCGAGTCCTTATTGACATAGAGGTACGTGAGCTGAATCACTCTTTGACAGGTGGTGTAGGTTTCGGTCTGGCTAATTATACGAGCAATCTTTGATAACATCAGTGTCACCGGCGATAGCATTCCGAAAAAGCGGTGGGTTCGCCGTAACGCCTAGGAGAAAAATGGCTACAACATGGGGAGACTTGAAGCGATTTTAGACCTTGCGGTTATCTGCCAAAAGGTCACATTAGCTTGCCGGCACGTGGATGACATGTCCGGGTTGAACTTCTCTTAACATTTCATTGACTCTCAACATAGCAGGGTGAATGTCCTCAATCCGATCCACCCTTGTCGAGAAACCGTGGTGACTTGAAAATCCGCGTCAAAATATCGTACCAATCGCCAGTCTAAGTTTTCATCGAGGAGAACGCGCATGTGGTTTTGGATCTCCGGGGGGTTGAATGGTTGGGGTACTTACAACATCGTGGGGTGACGAATGCAGACGCGCAGGAACAACACCACCGATTTAGTAGGGGAGTATATCACCACCGATGGGATCGGATGGCTCGCGTCAACGCGAGTTCTAAAAAAGCGACTGCCTGTTCCCGAGAAACCGAAGGGAACCCTTCAAGAAAATAGTCAAGACTCTCTCCGGCTTTGAGGTGATCAATAAGTGCTTTTATAGGAACACGAGTGCCCGCAAACACCGGTGTCCCCCCGTGAATCTCAGGATCTTGGTTTATCACGTGCTCAGGTTTCATTTTGAGTATGATAACCTCCGATAACTTTCATGCCTGATTTGTCATAAGTATACTACATTTCAGACCCTATATCAACAGGAAAATATGTTTTTTATCCAGCACGAAGCACATAGGTTTGAAGTGCCAACCCCAGAACTTTGTTTTCATCTTCCATTTTTTTCTAAAAAAAACTTGACAATGTTTTTGAATTATGAGAAACTATTAAGCATATTAGAAAAATGTGTGTTTGAGTCGGCATTAACCTTTCACTTTGGCAAAGTTTGCGATGCCAAATTGTGCTATTAAAGCACAATTTGTCTTTGCTTTACATTATTAAGATGTGTGAGGGCAAAATAGATTAGAAACAATGTTAATAGATTATCTTCCAATCTTGTTGTTAGGACTCTTTGCAGTTCTCTTTGCGGGTATTAATCTCGCTCTAACCCATATTCTTGGGCCCAAACGCCCAAACCGCGCTAAACTCTCCGTTTACGAATCCGGTGTCCAACCAGTCGGCGATGCGAGGCAACGGTTTACTATCCGGTTTGATCTCATTGCTATGCTCTTTATCATCTTCGATATCGAAGTGGTGTTCCTCTACCCGTGGGCAGTGGTCTTCAAGAAATTCTCTGAGACGAGTGGCTTGTTTATTTTAGTTGAAATGCTGGTGTTTATCGGTATTCTTCTTCTCGGCTATATCTACGCTTGGAAGAAAGGAGGCTTAACATGGGATTAGATTTTGTTGGACAAGGTGTCGGACAGACGGATGGGAACATCATCACAACGACTATTGGTAAGGTCGTCAACTGGGGACGCAAGAATTCGTTGTGGCCCATGCCGTTTGGGACAGCGTGCTGCGCAATTGAGATGATGGCGACCTTGGCTGCCAAATTCGACCTCTCTCGATTCGGTTCTGAAGCGATCCGATTTTCACCCCGCCAATCCGATCTGCTCATCGTTTCCGGCAGGATTTCTATCAAAATGATGCCTGTGCTAAAACGTATCTATGACCAGATGCCGGATCCGAAGTGGGTGATTTCGATGGGGGCATGTGCTTCCTGCGGTGGCGTGTTTGATACCTATACGTTAATTCAAGGCGTTGATCAGTTCATTCCCGTAGATGTCTACATACCCGGATGCCCGCCGAGACCCGAAGATCTCATTGATGCGGTGCTACAGGTGCAGCAGAAAATCACCAGTGGTGCCTCACCTAAAGGAGTAGAGGCAGTCGTATGAATGAAGAGAAAGAAATCGAAGAACAGCCGAAACCTCTTGTGCTTGCAAAATTAGAGGAACATCACGCAGATGCTCTTTTGGCACAGGACGAAATGCGTGGTACTGTTGTCGTTGTTGTCCGTAAAGAACAGGTTTACGCTGTTTTGGAGTATCTGAAAACAGATCCTGAACTCGCCTATACCTTTCTCGTTGATGCTACTGCCGTCGACAATTCACAGATGGAATCCGAATTGATGCAGTTTGACTATGCGAGGTTTATGGTAGTCTATCAGCTTTATTCCTATCAGGGACAGTGTCGTGTCCGAGTAAAAGTGCCTGTCCATGAAAACGACCTGAGTATTCCATCTGTTACCGCATTGTGGAAAGGTGCGAACTGGTTAGAGCGTGAAACTTATGACATGTTCGGAATTAATTTTGAGGGACACCCCGATCTTCACCGGATCTTGATGCCGGACGATTTTGAAGGACACCCGCTCCGAAAGGATTATCCACTCCGCGGACGTGGCGAGCGCGAACGCTTTAATTTTGATAAACAGAATGCCTAAAACAAAATAGCCGTCAGCAAAGAAGCCGTCAGCCGTCAGTGAGAATAGCGGTCAGCGGTCAGCAAGAGGGTGTAACTTCGACAGAAAGCCTCTTAACTGAAAGTCGACGGCTGATGGCTGATAGCTAATACGCCGACAGCCGATAGCCCAAAAAAAGGAGTATTTTATGCAAGGTGGGCTGAAACGCGCCACAGGTGAGAAGATGATTCTCAACTTCGGTCCGCAACATCCGGCAACGCACGGCACCCTGCGCATTGTGTTAGAACTTGATGGCGAATCCGTTTTGAAGGCGACACCCCATGCAGGCTACCTGCATACCGGGTTTGAGAAACTTGGTGAACACTTGGATTACAACCAGTACATTGTTGTAACCGACCGGATGAACTATCTATCGCCGTTGTCTAACAATTTCGGATATGTGCTTGCTGTTGAGCAGTTGCTCGACATTGAAGTCCCAAAACGGTGTCAATACATCCGTATTTTGATGGCGGAGCTCTCACGACTCGCAGATCACCTATTATGGTTGGGAACTGCTGCGCTGGACTTAGGGGCATTCTCTGTATTCCTCTATAGTTTCCGCGAACGCGAGAAGTTGTATAGTATCTTTGAAAAGACGACCGGAGCACGGTTGACGACCAGTTACACGCGCGTTGGCGGTGTACTTCGCGACCTCTATGCTGGGTGTGAAGAAGATGTACGGCAATTCGTCAGCGACTTCCCGAAGGCGTTGAAGGAGACTCATACGCTGCTCACACGGAACCGTATCTGGATGGATCGGACAAAAGGTGTCGGAACCCATTTCACCTGATGATGCCATCAGCTACGGGTTAACAGGTCCCTGCCTTCGAGCCACCGGCGTAGCACATGATATACGCAAGGCTGAACCGTATTCCAGTTACGATGAAGTCACATTTGATGTGCCAGTTGGAACCAACGGTGATGCCTACGACCGCTACCTCGTCCGGATGGAGGAGATGATTCAGAGTTGTGGCATCGTTACCCAAGTACTGGATAATATGCCTGATGGACCGGTCAACGTCGAAGATAACAAGATTACGATGCCGGATAAGTCCGATGCTTATGGGCATATTGAAGGCTTAATCCATCATTTTAAGGTTGTTATGGACGGACACGGCGTGGAAACCCCAAAGGGTGAGCATTATTGTGCAACCGAATCACCGAACGGGGAACTCGGATTTTATATTGTGAGTGATGGCAGCGGGACCGCTTATCGCATCCGCATCCGTCCACCGAGTTTCTTTCACTTCCAAGCACTGCCGCAAATGTTAGAAGGTGGGATGGTTTCTGATACCGTGGCTGTTTTGGGAAGTCTGAATGTTGTTGCCGGGGAGTTGGATCGCTAAACGAGTCATAACACTTTTGCTTGAGGGACTAAATGGAGCTGGGCAGCATTATACTTTTTGTCAAAAACATGAAATCTGTAATCGCGTTTTACAGAGATGTCGTCGAATTGTCTCCTGACGAAGATCAGCCGTTCCCTGAGCATCGCTTTTTTCGCTTTAACACAGGTGCTTGCAAGTTGTGCCTCCATAGCGCGAGCAAACCAAACGAAGGGAGACAGAAAATCGTCTTCCACGTTGAGTGCGTCAGGCCGTTCATCAGGAACTGAAGACGAAAGGGTTGCGATTACGGAAGCTTGAGAACGACGATGGGCTTGCCAATTTCGACATCCGCGATCCAGAAGGTAACCGTATTCAGTTTTGGGGCAACTATTAGAACGCACACTTTCAAGAAACAGAGAAATAGTTATCAGGAGCGTGGCATGCAAGACGCTTTTGCAGTCTACACGCCTTAACTCACTGTTCTCACTGCGAAGCAAACTGATAGCCGATAACTATTCCAAGGAAACACTTATGTCAGATGAACTCATTCAAATCGAAACGTCTTTCGCGTTTAATGAAGAAAACCAACGTGAACTCGACGAGTTGATAGGGCGATATCCGACTAAGGAAGCGGCAATGCTTCCGACGCTCCATATCGCACAGAGGCAGGCAGGCTACATTAGTCCTGCCGTTATGAAGTATGTCGCTGAACAACTTGAAGTCACCGTGATGAAAGTTAAAGATGTCGTCACCTTCTACCCAATGTTTTTTGAAGAACCGGTAGGCGAGTACGTCATTCGGGTATGTTATACGCTACCTTGTGCCCTACGGGATTGCAAGGTTGTTTTGGACCATCTCAAGTCGAAGCTGGATACGGATGTTGCCTCTGAAACCAATCTCGCGAAAGGCACAACTGCTGACGGTAAGTTCACGCTCATGAAAGTGGAATGTCTCGCGTCGTGCGATGTCGCTCCTGTTATCATGGTGAATGACGATTTATATAAAAATTTAACCCCGGAAAAGGTTGATGAACTTTTAGCAAAACTTGAAACATAAGCAGAGGTTGCTATTAGCACACAGTTTGCTTTACATTTGTTGTTCAAATTCATCGAAAACCCGATTTTGACAACGGAAAAATCGGAGCGAAAACCCGCATGATTAAAAAAATTCAAGAAAGACGAATTCTCTACGAGCATCTGGATGTGCCTGATATTAACACGTTCGATGTCTTTCGGCAATACGACGGCTACGCCCATTTTGAAAAGGCAATTGCGGAATATCAACCAGACGATATCGCTAAAATGGTGATGGATTCCGGGTTGAAAGGTAGGGGCGGTGCCGGATTCTCGACGGGCTTGAAATGGAGTTTCGTTCCGAAAGATATAAAGCCGTGTTACCTCTGTTGCAACGCTGACGAAAGTGAGCCAGGAACGTTCAGTAACCGCTACGTTTTGGAAAAGAATCCACACCTATTGATTGAAGGCATCCTGATTTGCTGCTATGCAATGGGCATCGAGACAGCTTATATCTACATTCGGGGTGAATTCACCCTTGGGAAAAAGATGTTGGATGCCGCTATCAAGGAGGCATACGAAAAGGGATACCTCGGCAAAGACATTCGTGGTACAGGACTCAACGTTGACATCTATTCACACCCAGGAGCCGGTGCCTATATCTGTGGCGAGGAGACGGGACTCATTGAATCGCTTGAAGGCAAACGTGGGCAACCTCGGAACAAACCCCCGTTCCCTGCTGTTGCAGGTGTGTTTGGAAAGCCAACCGTGGTACAGAATGTTGAGACATTGTGTAACCTGCCTTTTATCGTTGGCAACGGCGTTGAATGGTACACCCAAATGGGACCAACGTATGCCGATACGCGGTCTGATCCGCCGACACCCGATCCTAACACGGGCACGAAGCTTTATTGCATCAGTGGTGACGTTAACGAACCCGGCGTTTATGAACTTGAGCTCGGCTTGACATGTTCAGAACTTATTGAAGTTGCAGGTGGACTGCGCGGCGAAGAGGTGAAAGCAGTTATACCTGGTGGTAGTTCTGCACCGATTTTAACGCACTATGAGTTGGACACACGACTCGATTTTACTGCACTCACGCTTGCCAAATCGATGCTCGGTTCCGGCGGCATCATTGTCATGAACGAGACTCGGAATATCGTCGATTGCCTGCTCAATATCATGAAGTTCTACGCGCACGAATCTTGTGGACAGTGCACACCGTGCCGCTGGGGGACCCCGTGGGTGCGAGATATTGTCCAACGGATTGCCGATGGAAACGGGCAAAAAAGTACTATTATGCGCCCCAAATTCGGTGTCGCTGCAAATGGTAGATGGGGCGATACCGGTGAGACAGAAGAAATCTACGAAGACTTAGATTTGCTGGAAAGTGTCGCCAATAACATCGCGAATGTGGATACGATGACCTGGAATACGATTTGTGTTTTTGGCATCGCGGTTTCCTGGCCCGCCGTGAGTTATATGCGTAAGTTCCGCCCCGAATTTGAAGCCGCCCTCCGAGAAGGTAAACTCGTCACCCTACCGGTTGCTGAGGCGACCGTACCACCGGAGGAAAATTACGCGTATCAACAGCGATTTGTTCCGAAAGAGTTCGCTGACCTGTAGGTTTTTTAATTGTTCCTTGTGGTTCGGTCAGTTCGGTTTGATGAATAGCGTGCCTTTACGTAGACCCGCTTGCGCCTGCTTCGCAGTGAGAATGCAAGCTGCCGTTTTCAGTTACAGGCGTTAAAGATGAAACCAAAAACCGTAGCTCGTAATGAAATGGAGAGCGGATTTAAGGAAAGGCAGCGGATAGTTCTAACCCACGTTGTTTCTCCGCAAGGAAAATTAGAAAAAGGAAAATTAAAAGATGGCATTTATTAAATTAGATGACCTCGAGGTAGAGGTTGAAGATGGAACGAATGTAGTCGAGGCAGCAAGGGAACACGGTATTGAAGTCCCTCACTACTGTTATCACCCAGGGTTGAGCAGTCCAGCGAATTGCAGAATGTGTCTCGTTGAGCCACACGTTTTCTTCCCACCTGCTGGTGCAATCGTCCCGGATCGGCAACTCGCAACCGGGTGTACGACGGTGCTTAGAACAGCACCACCTGATAGGAAACTTGACGGAAAGTACGACTTTATTGTTCGGACGGATAGTCCACGGGTCAAAAAGGCGCGCGAGGATATACTCGAATTTTTGCTTGTTCATCATCCCCTTGACTGTCCCGTCTGTGATCAGGCAGGCGAGTGTGATCTTCAAGACTACTCGCATCGACACGGACGCGATAAGAGTCGTTATCTTGAGGTCAAAAATGTTCCACCCAAGAAAGACTTAGGACCCGATGTGCTGCTTTACACAACGCGCTGCATTGTCTGCACCCGGTGTATTCGATTCGCGGAAGAGGTTTCCGGAACGGGCGAATTAGGCTTAGTTCACCGCGGCTCCCACGATGAAATTGATATTCCACGAAGCCATGAAGGTGTTCCCTTGCAGGTACTGGATAACAAATTGGCAGGCAATGTTGTTGATATTTGTCCCGTCGGGGCATTGACTAGCAAGGATTTCTTGTTCAAGTCTCGTCCGTGGTTCTTAGAGAAAGCGAACAGCGTTTGTTCGGGGTGTAGTGTCGGTTGCAATATCACCGTAGAATATAAAGCCGATGGCGTGTACAGGATCAAGCCGCGCTTCCACGAAGATATTAACCAACATTGGATGTGTGACGATGGTCGCCTGGGTTACCACTATGTGAACAGCGATGACCGACTCCAACTTCCGATGAAACGGGTTGATGACGAACTCACTCCAACACATTGGGCAGATGCCTTAGCGGTAATTACAGAAAAATTGTCGGAAATAGAAACTGAGGACATTGTTGTTATCGGCTCTGCACAGGGTACAAATGAAGACAATTACGTTTTACAACAGTTCGCACATGGTGTGCTGAAAACAACGCAGTTGGGACTCTTTGGACAGTTGCCCGGTGAAGAACACAAGTTCCCTCAGTTTACGATTGAAGCCGACAAAAACCCTAACATGGCAGGAGCACGAACGATACTCGGTTCTGCGAATGGTAACGTCGTTTTAGAAGGTGACGCGCTTTGGGAGAAAGTATCGGGCGCGAAAGTCGTTTATCTCGTTAGCGGTGGACCGGAGCGTCCTCTTGAAGATGCTGAAAAAGCGGCGTTGGAGAGTGTTGATTTCCTTATCGTGCAAGACGTTTTGCCCTCAGAAGTCACACAGTTAGCAGATGTGGTTCTACCGGGAACAACCTTCGCCGAGAAAGATGGCACCTTCACTAATTCGACAGGTTGGGTGCAGCGGATTCGTAAGGCGGTTGACCCACCCGGTGAAGCGCGTGCGGATTGGGAAATTACGCAGCAGCTTGCCAAGCAGTTGGGCGGTGAGATGAACTACCATTTTGCCGGTGAGATTGCCCTGGCAATTGCGGAGAATGTCCCAGGATATGGTGATACCACGCATCAAAAAATTGGGGATGCGGGAATCAAGCTAACCTAAGCCTGTAGGCTCAATAACCAGAGTTACGAACAAGAAGAAACTTCGGATGTAGATATCTTAAAACCCTTCATAGAAAGGAAACGTCGGAAACGCACCAGAAACCTGTCAGGAGACAATAAATGAAAATGCAAACATTTTCATTTATTCTTCCTGTGTGAAATGAAATTATGCCTTAAATGGCATAATTTGTCTTTGCTTTACATTTGGAACGATGCGCGCCGGCCCATAGTTAAAAAAATGGAAAATTCACAACTTCTCGTTTTCTTCCTCAGTTCAATCGGCAAGATTCTCATCATCGTACATCTCCTGCTTATTGGTGTGATGGCAATGATTTGGGCGGAACGTCGGGTGAGCGGATGGATGCAGGATCGATTGGGACCGAATCGCGTCGGTTTCCAAGGGATTCTACAACCAATTGCTGACGGGTTAAAGTTCCTCTTTAAAGAAGATCTTATTCCGGATCACGTGGATAAGCCGCTCTATGTGCTTGCTCCCGCGATGCTCTTGGTGCCTGCGATGGTTACGATTGCAGTCGTGCCATTTGGGAGTTCTATCACGATATTGGGAAACGAAATACCGCTCCAGATTGCGGATATCAACATCGGTATTCTGTATGTTTTGGCGGTAACCTCCCTCGGTGTCTACGGGGTCGTGCTTGGGGCATGGGCATCTAATAACAAGTATTCGCTCTTGGGCGGTTTACGTTCATCTGCGCAGATGATTAGTTACGAGCTAACGCTCGGATTAGCAATCATCGGCGTACTGATGCTAACGAGTTCTCTCAGCCTTCGTGAGATTGCAATGGCACAAGGTTCATATCCGTGGCATTGGAATTTTCTGATTCACTTCCCCGCATTCCTGGCATTTACAACGGCAATGTTTGCGGAAACAAATCGATTGCCTTTTGACCTTGCCGAAGCGGAACAGGAACTCGTCGCAGGGTATCACACCGAATACAGTAGCATGAAATTCGCTATGTTTTTCATGGCGGAATACATGAACATGATTGTTGGATCCACTGTAGTGGTGACACTCTTCTTAGGTGGATGGCACTTCTTCGGATTGGAGAATATCGGTGGCCCCGTCTGGAGTGGACTCATCTCGTTTGGTATTTTCTTCGTCAAAACGGCGATATTCCTATTCGTGTTTATTTGGGTTCGCTGGACACTTCCTCGGTTCCGCTATGACCAACTTATGAACCTCGGTTGGAAATTTCTATTACCTGTCGCTTTGACTTCAATCGTCGTAACCGGCACTTTATGGATAATGACCAACTCTCGTCTGATCGTGGGGATCGGCAATGTGGTTTCCGCGTTTATTGTTGTATCTATTGTCGCAGGACTGCTTGTGATGAAGACCCCTAAGCCTGCAATCCAGGATAGCGACGAGAACTCACATCAACCGCTCTCGACGCAATAGAATAGGAGGCATGCTGATGAATGCAGAACAGATTCTATTTATTCTCTTTGGAGCGGTCTCGCTGATTGGCGCGATTGCTGTAATCTCGTTTCGACATCCGATTTATAGCGCGCTTTCGCTTATTGTAACGTTTTTCGCACAAGCGGGCTTTTTGTCCTGCTCGGTGCACATTTCGTTGCGGCTGTACAAGTAATTGTCTATGCTGGCGCGATCATGGTCCTGTTTCTCTTTGTGATTATGCTCCTGAACTTGGGTACACTCTCGGTGAAAGGGGCTATTGGGGGGAAACTCAAGGGATTCGCTATTATTTTAGGCATCCTCCTTGCCGCCGAAGGCATCTATATCGCAGTGAATGCGCCCAACAACACCGCAGTGGCATCGGCAGAGCCTGCGACCGGAGCGATAACGACAACTACTTATGACATTGGTGAACTCCTGTTCACCAAGTACCTCCTACCGTTTGAGGTTACCTCGCTTATTTTGTTGGCGGCGTTGATTGGCGTTATCGTCTTGGTAAAACGCGATGCTCAAGAAGAAAACTAAATTCAGTAGGTGAGGTGTTTATCTTTATAGCATCAAAAACGTAGCCTGTAATGAAATTATGCCTTAAATGGCATAATTTGTCTTTGCTTTACATTTGGAAGGCGGATTTACGCCACGGAATGTCAAAGTTCCAAAGTTACTTGACCGAACCGCAAGGAAAATTAAAAATATGTCATTAGAGTATTATCTCATTTTGAGCGCACTCTTGTTTGCAACGGGAGTCATCGGGGTCCTCGTCCGCAGAAACGCTATTATCATCTTTATGTGTATTGAACTGATGCTAAATGCGGCGAATCTCGCTTTTGTGGCAATCAGTCGTAGTCTCGGTGAGGCGACGGGACAAATATTCGTTTTCTTTGTGATGACTGTCGCTGCTGCCGAGGTCGCGATTGGGCTCGCAATTATTGTGAGCGTCTTCAAACATCGGCAGACGGTTAATGTGGATGAAATTAATTCGTTGAAAGGTTAGCAAGGACTTTTGATTTAGTCATGAGATGTAAAACGACCGTTCCTATTCACTTGTTCTTTAGAACAATTTAATCATAACTCACGTTGTTGAAACGGAACGAAAACCCGATTTTGACAACGGAGCTTTTAACAGCAAGTTTTGGCTTGTAAGCTTCGCCAAAAGGGAGCGAAAACCCAATCGTTAAAAAATTATGTCACTTGAATTAATTGTTGTCTTGTTAGTTGCCCCGCTTGTTGGGTTTCTGATTAACGGGTTATTAGGACTTTCAGAAAATAAGGGGCTAAAAGGTAACGAGCAACTGAGCGGGTGGATAGGTTCGCTTGCAGTGCTTGTTTCTTTAGTCTGTTCGATTATCACTTTTGCCAGTTTGCACGGCGGTGCTGCCCCGTTCGATGAAACGCTATATGAATGGATTACAGGTGAGTCGTTCGCTTTCAATATCGGGTTCCGTGTGGACGCACTAACGTCAGTGATGTTGTTAGTGATTACAGGTGTTGGGTTTCTCATCCACGTCTATTCCATCGGCTACATGCATGGCGATGAAGGATATACGCGCTATTTTGCCTATCTGAACCTGTTCATCTTTGCAATGCTAATCTTGGTCCTCGGCAACAACTATCTGATGATGTTCATCGGATGGGAAGGGGTCGGACTTTGTTCCTACCTACTGATCGGGTTCTGGTACCAAAAGCAGTCAGCGATAGACGCTGGGAAAAAGGCGTTCATCGTGAACCGAATCGGTGATTTCGGTTTTCTGCTGGGGATGTTTACCCTGTTTGCAGCTTTTGGGACTCTCGATTTCGCATCGATATTTGATGCCGCTGAGGCAGACAATTTTCAGAAAATCTTTGGTGCCAGTACCCTTGTAATTGCGACCTTGCTACTCTTCGTTGGCGCGATAGGTAAATCGGCACAGATTCCGCTCTATGTATGGCTCCCGGACGCAATGGAAGGTCCTACACCTGTCAGTGCCTTGATTCACGCCGCTACAATGGTGACAGCAGGCGTATATATGATAGCACGCTCGGCTGTGCTTTATAACATAGCGCACACCGGTGAAGTGGTCGCTTGGATCGGTGTTTTGACTGCGTTCTTCGCTGCAACGATAGCACTTACCCAGAACGATATAAAACGCATTCTCGCCTATTCCACTGTGAGCCAACTCGGATTCATGTTCCTTGGTGTTGGTGTTGGTGCTTATGCGTCTGGCGTTTTCCATTTAGTAACGCATGCCTTCTTTAAAGGGCTGATGTTCCTCACCGCTGGTAGTGTGATGCACGCGATGGCGAATGAATTGGATATGCGGAAGATGGGCGGCTTAAAGGCAAAGATGCCGATAACGCACTGGACCTTTTTAGTAGGTGCGCTTGCCATTGCCGGATTTCCGTTTCTAAGCGGATTCTGGAGCAAAGATGAAATCTTACACAGTGCATGGGGGAGTTCGCCTCTTATTTACGTCATCGGTTTAGTCACGGCATTCTTAACGGCGTTTTATATGTTCCGCCTGATCTTCGTGACGTTTTATGGTGAATCTCGTGTTGAATCCGAAGTTGCTTCGCATCTGCACGAATCGCCACCAGTCATGTGGGTACCGCTGGCGATTCTGGCGATTCCCTCTGCCTTAATTGGCTTGCTGTTGGGGTGGGGTGGACATGAGAGTTGGTTCCACGACTTCACGAAGAGTGTTTTTCCAGAGACGCACCATGAGGCATCCGGTAATGTATTTCTGTTTATGGCAATTTCATCGGTTGTCGGTCTGGCGGGTATTGCGTTCGCGTGGACACGTTATAGCAAACGAGTACCATCTGACGAACCTACCAATGCACTACACAAGCTTCTTGCGAACAAGTATTATGTTGATGAGGTATATAACGCACTCATTGTGCAACCGATTAAAAACGGTTCTCATTTCCTCTTATGGCGGATTGTAGATAACGGCATTATTGATGGGATTGTCAACGGTGTGGCATCTATCATCCGTTTGATTGGCGGAACGTTGCGACGCCTCCAGACAGGACTTGTCCAATCCTATATTGTATCAATGGTTCTCGGAATTGTGTTATTCCTCGCATACTATCTGTTTTTTCTATAGACATGTCACCCCTACGGGGTTCAAGAAGGAATCCCTTTTAAGCACCCCAGTGGGGTGCAATATCTGTAGAGCGGATTGATGGTTAACAGATTTGATAGTTTGAAAAATGGAACAGAATGCTTTTCGACCGCGGGATCTGCTTAACAAAGAGGTTGCCGGAATCTGTGGAGTCGCAAGGTTGACAGATAAAGCGCGGGCTGCCCACGCTGGGGAAATCGGAAGTTATAAATACGGTGCTGCTTCCAAGCAAGATATGGGGATTTTATCCTTCCTCGGTATCTCAGCAGAAGTTTTTCAGGAAGCCGCTGTGAAAATTGACAATGATGTCAGACTGGGTGCGTGGGTTTTGGATAACTGTGGAAGATCAGATAAAGACCTCTCCACGTTCAATCGTAAGTTAATATCTTGGTGGCAGCGTAAAATGCCTCGTGACGATTTTTCAAAACGCCGACGCAAATTGCATCAGAAAGATGAAGATCGTTGGCTTTTTTGGTTCTTCCCTTCGATGTGGCTCTGGAAGACTTGGTTCAAGCGATAATCTATTTATTCAATAGAGGGAAGCGCAACCAGTAAATCATTCCTATTGATGAAAGACAATTGGTCCCAAAGGAGGTTTCCTTGTTACTTTCAATAGTCATTTTTTTACCTCTGCTCGGCGTGATAGCGATCGCGTTGCTCAGAGGACTCGGGGCATCCGCTGTTAAAGGCATCGCGCTTGTCATTGGGCTCCTGACGTTTATTGCCTCGTTGGGGCTTTACACCGGGTTTGACGCGACGACTGCAACGTTCCAAAATGTTACGCAGCAAGCATGGATTCCCGGTTTAGGGACAAGCTACCATATCGGTATTGATGGTATTTCGCTGTGGTTGGTGCTGCTTACGACTTTCCTAACACCGTTGTGTATCCTTGCCGCATGGAACTCGGTTGAGAAAGGGCTAAGCGGTTTTATGATGTCGCTCCTCGCCCTCGAAACTGGGATGTTGGGTGTCTTCTGTGCTTTGGATCTGTTCCTCTTTTTTGTATTTTGGGAGTCGATGCTGATTCCAATGTACTTCCTCATCGGTATTTGGGGTGGAGAACGTCGAATTTATGCGACTGTGAAGTTCGTTCTTTATACAATGGCGGGCAGTGCGCTAATGCTTGTTGGCATCTTGGTACTGTACTTCCAAAACAACAATAGTTTCGATTTCACGACGCTCAGCGGTCCGTTTGAACATTCACATCTATTGTTCTTGGCGTTTTTCATTGCATTTGCCATTAAGGTTCCGCTCTTTCCGTTCCACACGTGGCTACCAGATGCCCACGTTGAAGCTCCTACGGCGGGAAGTGTAATCCTTGCTGGGGTGCTGCTAAAAATGGGGACTTATGGGATAATCCGATTTTGTCTACCACTCTTTCCCGATGCAGCGACTGAATTCACTCCGTTGATTGTGCCACTTGCTGTAATTGGCATCATTTATGGAGCATTGGTGGCGATGGTTCAACCAGATCTGAAAAAACTGGTCGCATATTCCAGTGTGAGCCACCTCGGTTTTGTGGTATTGGGGCTTTTTTCAAAAAACCCCATCGGTATTCAAGGAAGCGTCTTGCAAATGATTAATCACGGCTTGAGCACAGGCGCGTTGTTCCTTTTGGTCGGAATGATTTATGAACGACGACACAGCAGAATGATTGTAGATTTCGGGGGGTTGGCAAAGCGAATGCCGATCTTTGCTACAATTTTTATGGTTGTGACGTTATCGTCAATTGGGCTACCGGGTTTGAATGGATTCGTCGGCGAATACATGATACTGCTTGGTAGTTTTGTTCAGGGAGCGTTCTCGAAGGTATATGTAGTTCTGGCAACAGCAGGTGTGATTCTGGCAGCTGTCTATATGTTGTGGATGTTCCAACGGGTGATGTTTGGGACACTGGATAAGACAAATGAAGATTTGCCTGATCTGAACGCACGCGAGATCGTTGTGATGCTTCCGATACTGCTGTTCATCTTCTGGATCGGCGTTTATCCAAAACCTTTCTTGAGTAAGATAGAGAAATCAGTAGGACTTGTCGTGACGCAGGTGCAAACCGAACCTACTATGGGGCGCGCCGGAGAACAAATACTACAAGACACCGAACTCGCTCTACAGGGAACACAGCGCGTTCAGCACGAAAAGATTGAAAAGGAGGCAGAGACGAAGTAAGTGAAGTTTAAACTTGCATCCGGTCTTATTTTTTGTATTATTTTGGGGCTTGCGTTGTCAGTTTCAATGGGAGCCTTCGGAGCAGATGACGCACAGGGTGCCGAAGGCGCGCACCACGGTCATGGGGTAGACGGGGCAAACTTGCCTATTTGGAGTATCATACCGTTTGTTGGTATATTACTCTCTATTGCGATTTTCCCGCTTGTGTTAGATTCCCATTTTCTTGTCCACCACGGTGGAAAAATGTCATTGATATGGTCGTTAGTCTTCGCAATCCCCTACCTTGCAGCATTTCGAGGAGCAGCCTTTTACGATATTCTGCATATTTACCTTATAGACTATATCCCGTTCATTATTCTTTTGTGGGGATTGTTCGCGGTCGCAGGTGGGATTCTCGTGCGAGGGACATTGCGTGGCACGCCGTTGGTTAACACATTATTACTGCTTATCGGCACTGCTATCGCTTCGTGGGTAGGCACAACAGGGGCATCAATGCTCCTCATCCGCCCGCTAATTCGAGCGAATGCATATCGGCAGAACAAGATTCATCTGATTGTCTTCTTCATCTTTCTCGTGAGTAACATCGGTGGTTCTTTAACACCGTTGGGGGATCCACCACTCTTTTTGGGATTCTTGCACGGCGTGCCTTTCTTCTGGACAACAACGGCTCTCTTCCCACACATGCTGCTTATTAGTGTGATCTTAATTGTGCTGTTCTTTGTAGTAGACACATTTATGTTTAAACGGGAAGGCGGTGTCGTTCCAGATGATGGTGCCAGTGAACCTATTCGTGTAGATGGACTGTTTAACCTCATCTTCCTGCTCGGTATTGTCGCGGCTGTCCTGATGAGCGGTACCGCGAAATGGGGAGAGATCAACATCCTCGGTGTACATGTGGCGTGGCAGAATATCGCTCGTGATGTGTTGATTGTCGTCATGGGGCTGCTATCCCTCAGGTTTACACCCTTTAGTGGTGAGTTGCGTCAAGCGAACGAGTTTTCGTGGGAGCCGATTGAAGAGGTTGCGAAAGTGTTCGCCGGTATCTTTATGACAATTATTCCGGCGTTGGCGATTCTGAAAGCCGGTGAAAACGGTGCGTTACGTGGGTTGATTGGGGCAATAAAAGAACCGATTCACTATTTTTGGATAACCGGAACTCTGTCGAGTTTCTTAGATAATGCGCCGACCTATTTGACGTTTTTTAACACAGCACTTGGCCAATTACATCTCACTGAAGCCATGGTACCGGAGATCTTGTCTACGCCATTTGATTCATTGCCTAAGGACCATCAAACATTTGTCAATTTGCTAACGGCTATTTCCGTCGGTGCAGTTTTCATGGGCGCGAATACCTATATCGGTAATGCCCCGAACTTCATGGTGAAAGCAATAGCGGAACAAAGCGGTATCCGCATGCCGAGTTTTTTCGGATATATGATCTGGTCGGTAGGAATTTTAGTCCCTCTCTTTGTGATTGTGACGTTAGTGTTCCTATAGCCGTCAGCGATCAGCCATCAGTCGTCAGCAAAGAGCGTGGTGTGCAAGCAATACGCAACTGCCATAAGGTTCTCTTACTGACTGTTGACAGCGGACGGTTGACAACTCTTAAAAAAGGAGATTTTGAATGCCAATAGAGATTAACTGGCAATTACTTATGCCGGAGTTGGTTATCGCTTTAACATTGCTCATCGTCCTCGTTTTTGATCTGTTTGATTCCATCTCAAAAGCGGTTCTCGGCTGGGTGACAATCGTTGGGGCGGGGATTGCGCTATGGGTCTCTATCCAGATGCATCAAGCAGGCACAGTTGGTACCCAATTCAACGACATGTTCAAGGTGGATAATTTCTCCCTCTTCTTCAACATTGTTTTCCTTGTTTCGACGATTTTGGTCGCGTTGATTTCGATGAGTTATTTGGGCAAGGACGATAGAAAGCAGGGTCCTTACTATCTACTTATTCTGCTCGCGACGCTCGGTATGATGTTGATGGCTGCAGGCAATGAGTTGATTATCGTTTTCCTTGGCTTGGAACTGATGTCATTATCGTTGTATGTGTTGGCAGGTTATTTTCGAGATAATCCTGCTTCAAGCGAGGCGGGTATGAAATACCTATTGCTCGGCGCGTTTGCAAGCGCGTTCTTCCTCTACGGGATCGCTCTTATTTACGGGGGTGCCGGAACGACGAATATCCCCGCGATCGCTGAGGCAATTACTGCCGCGAATAAATCGCCACTGTTGTTAGCCGGAATGTTCCTTCTTATTGTTGGATTCGGATTTAAGGTCGCCATTGTTCCGTTCCATCAATGGGCACCAGATGTTTACGAGGTGCTCCCACAACGATAGCAGCATTTATCTCCGCCGGACCAAAGGCAGCTGGGTTTGCGGCGTTCCTCAGAATTTTCATGGAAGCATTACCAAGTCTGCAAGTCGAATGGAGTGGTGCTGTCATTGTGTTGGCGATGTTAACGATGACAGTCGGAAATGTCGTCGCGATTGCCCAGACAAACATCAAGAGGATGCTCGCTTACTCAAGTATTGCCCACGCAGGTTACGTACTAATTGGCTTGGCGGCTGCAAATAACGACGGAATTTCCAGCGCAATGCTTTATCTACTCGTTTACTGTGTGATGAACATCGGCGCGTTCGGTGCGGTCATCTTGGCAAAAACGGAGGATGGCGAGAGCCTTATGATTTCCGATTACGCAGGGATTGGTCTCCGAAAGCCGTTACTTGCTATGTTTATGACGATAATGCTTTTGTCACTCGCGGGTTTCCCGCCGACTGCTGGATTCGTCGGAAAATTCTATATTTTCAAATCGGCAGTTCAGGCAGGACATATCTGGCTTGTTATTGTGGGTGCCATTAACACTGCGATATCGGCGTTCTACTATCTCCGTGTTGTTGTGACGATGTATATGCGTGAACCGGAAGAGGAACTGAGTTTTGCGTCGTACCCAGGCACCCTTATTGTTGGGTTAGTCCTCGCCGCGATTGGTGTTTTGCTTATCGGTATTTTGCCGTCGCTCATGCTGAATCCAGCACAGAATTCCGTTTTTTAATGGCTGTCAGCAGTCAGAAGGACGTGTGGCGGTGGGAGGGGTTTGTAACCCCGACTCCACCGCAAACCGCAAGCCGATAGATATTAAATTGAAGTGTGGAAGGATGGAGGGTGGATTCCTCGGTCTTCCACACTTCCGTTCTTCCCTTGCCCAGATAACAAAGCAAGGGATTTTGCATAAGTCTTAAGGAAAACAAAAAAGAGGACGTTATGTCAGACGTTAGATTAGGCTTTATCGGCACAGGTGGCAACATGAATCGCCACTTGCGCGAGTTAACCGAGATCGGCGGCACAAAATTCGTTGCCTTCTGTGATATTGTAGTGGAGAAAGCGGAGCAGGCTGTTACCCAATACGGTGGTAAAGCCTACGGGGACTATAATCAGATGCTCGCGAGCGAGGAATTGGATGCCGTTTATATCTCAATTCCACCGTTTGCCCATGGTGCCCCCGAGCGCGCTGTCGTTGCCGCCGGACTGCCGATGTTTGTAGAGAAACCGGTGCACATGGATGCAGCCGAGGCAAAGGACATTGCAGCGGAAGTGGAAGAAAGAGGCATCATCACCGCTTGTGGGTATCAGGAACGTTACCTTGATATTATCGACAAAGCGCAGGAACTTCTCGCAGACCGACGTGTCGGATTCTTTATGGGCTACTGGATGGGTGGTATGCCCGGCGGATGGTGGCGTGAGAAGGCGAAATCCGGTGGACAGCTCATGGAGCAGACGACGCACGAATTTGATATGGCGAGATACCTCTTCGGTGAGGTCAAAACCGTCTATGCTGTCGCGCGTTACGATCTGATTCCGAATACCGATTATGATATCGAGGAAGCCTCTGCCGTCTCGTTACAATTTGAGAGTGGTGTCTTCGGTGTTATGTTCTCTGCTTGCTTCACAACGAATGGGATGCGGCGTTCCGGCTTAGACATTTTCTGTGAGGACGGTTCACTTGAATACCATCTCCGTAGCGCGCTTGTGCTCTCTACTGCTGATGAGACGACCACGTGGAATCCGCAAAACAATTGCACTATCGAAATGGATAGCACTTTTATTGACGCAGTCCGCGCAGGTGATGGCAGTGCAATCCGTTCCCCCTATTCGGATGCCGCCAAAACCGCTATTTTGTCAATCGCTGCCAATCACTCTTTGGAAAACAGGTGAACCTGTACACTTAGGATAGCTGGAAAATTTTTGCTTATTATATCCGGTACTTTCCTTGCGTCTCTTGTCCGCGATGTGCTAAAATTGGTAAAGTAACTTTTTAAGTACCAGGGGTGGTTGGAATTAACGAGGGCATTCAGTTCTTTTGTAGGAGGGGGGAAACACCCAAGCAAAAACACTCCGATTCCCGACACTTCCGTGTAGATATAGGGGTAGGTCTTGTGCCTACCCTCTCGCTTCTCCAGTTCGCGACCCCTTCCGAAAATTAAGAGAAATCACGAAAACCAAATGACCCTGGGAATTAACTGAGAACTACAGCGAAACGTAGTGGAGCGGTGTCCAGAGTTAATCATTTAAAAACTGAGAACCACCGTGAAATGTAGTGGAGCGATACTCAGAATTAATCGTTTAAAAAATGGAACACCAACTTAACCTCCCCATCACTGGCATGCACTGCGAAAACTGTGCAAGCACCATCACACGGCATCTCAAAAAAATGGAGGGTATCCTTACCGCAGAGGTCAGCCTCGCCACTGAATATGCCGCGGTTACCTTTGATGCATCCACGCTCAGCGAGGAGATCATTGTCGACAAGATCCGAGATCTCGGTTTTGACGTTGTCGATGAGAACGAAGAAGACGCAGCTCGCGCTGAGGAACTCCGACGACAAAAAAATGCAATTCATTGTCGGGATCATCTTCACGCTCCCACTCTTTCTCCTCAGCATGGGTAGAGATATGAATCTGTTAGGCGCGTGGGCATCAGCAAACTGGGTTAACTGGCTCATGTTTGGCTTAGCATTACCGGTGCAGGGTTATGTTGCTTGGGACTATTACGTCGGTGGTTTTAAAGCCTTACGCAACCGATCCGCCAATATGGATGTCCTTGTCGCTATGGGTTCATCGGTGGCGTTTCTCTATAGCCTCACTGTAACGATTGCATTAGGGATGGGCGCCGGGGCAAGCTTCGGGACTCACGTCTATTTTGAGACAGCCGCGGTTATCATTACCTTGATTAAGTTAGGGAAACTTCTTGAAGCACGTGCCAAAGGTAAGATAAACGCAGCCCTCAAAAAACTCCCCCAACTTTCTCCTAAAATAGCGTGCCGCTTAGAAAACGGCGAAGAACAGCACATCCCTATTGAACAGGTTGGCGTAGGAGATGTTCTTCTTGTACGTCCCGGCGAAAGTATTCCTGTTGATGGTGTGGTGCGCAGCGGCAAAAGTGCCATCGATGAAAGCGTCTTTACCGGAGAAAGCCTACCCGTAGATAAGAGACCCGGCGACCCTGTGACCGTAGCGACGATGAACCAGAGTGGAATGCTCACAATGGAAGCCACGCATATCGGGACAGAAACAGCCCTTGCCCGTCTTGTCCAATTGGTACAAACAACGCAACAGAGCAAGCCCCCTATCCAACGCGCCGCCGATGCAGTCACAAATGTGTTTGTGCCCGTCGTCAGCGGATTGCCATTGTGACGTTTCTCGTATGGTGGTTCGGCATCGGAGCAGGATTCACCCCGGCAATGCTCCGTTTAGTTGCAATCCTTGTCACAGCTTGCCCTTGTGCATTGGGACTTGCCACCCCAACTGCTGTTATGATGGGAACCGGTATCGGTGCGCAGCGCGGCATCCTCTTCCGAAACGGCGAAGCACTTGAACGCGCTGGAGACTTAACCACAATTGTCCTCGATAAAACAGGCACCTTGACAGAGGGGAAACTCACGCTTACCGATATTCTCACGGATAAAGACGAATCAGAACTCCTACAGCTATCTGCCGCTGCGGAGCGTGGTAGTGAACATCCTATTGGCAAAGCAATTGTTCGAGCAGCTGAGGAACGTGGAATTGACATCGCTACGCCAAGTGCGTTTAAAGCGGTTGCTGGACACGGTATCGCCGCACAGGTCGGTGAAAATAGGGTCGTCATAGGCAATTTATCCTTAATTCAACAGCACAACATTCCTACTAAAAGATTTGAAGAAGAAGCAGACCGTCTACAGACGGAAGCGAAAACCGTTCTATGGGTTGTCGTTGATGGGCACGTTGTTGGACTTCTGGCGGTCGCGGACACATTGAGATCGGAAGCGCAGGCTACAGTCGCGGAACTCTACGAACTTGGATGTACTGTAGTAATGATGACAGGGGATAACCGCGTTACCGCTGATGCGATCGCCAAGGCAGCGCGGATTAGCGATGTCATGGCAGAACTCAAACCCGAAGATAAAGCGGCAGCCGTTAAAAAGTTACAGGCGGAAAATAGTGAACTCGTCGCGATGGTAGGCGACGGCATTAACGATACCCCCGCATTGGCACAAGCCGATATCGGAATCTCACTCGGCACAGGCACCGATATTGCCAGGGAGACAGCACACGTGACGCTCATGCACAGCGATTTGCGTGGACTCCCCGATGCAATTCGGCTAAGCCGCTCGACCATGCGCACGATTAAACAGAACCTTTTCTGGGCGTTCTTCTACAATGTACTTTTAATTCCTGTCGCAGCGGGCGCGCTTTATCCGCTATCTTTCGTGCCGATGATGTTTCGGGAGCTACACCCGATGCTTGCAGCGTTCGCCATGGCGTTTAGTAGTGTTTCTGTTGTGCTAAACAGTCTGCGGCTGCAATGGAAAAAGACCTGACTCGCAATATCACTTACGGCACAATAGTTGAGGTGCCTCTATGGTCCGAATCTGTCCAAATTTTTGCTTATCATCCACTTCCTGAAAGGTAGGTGAATTGAGCGTTGTCCCAGCACAAGTGAATTTTACGGGCAACGTCCATCGTGCCTTCCTTGGACTTGTAGCCAGGCGTTACCAATATTCTACCATCTACGCTCCAACCTTGTATCCATCCGCTTCAGTTTTTGGGGAAAATAGTTTGAATCTTCAAATTTAACATAGTATAATAATTCTATACAAACTTTCATAACACTAGAACTCAACTGGAGGGTTATCGCATGCGAACCTATAATCTTTTTATTAGTCATTCTTGGGCTTACAGCGATGCATATGATAAACTCATCAATTTACTTGATGAAAGATCATATTTTCCGCTATAGCAACTATTCTGTGCCCAAAGACGATCCACTACATACTAGTGCTATGTCAATCGTTAATTGAAGGATATAGTTTTTTGAGTTTGATCCGCGCGTCGTCAGTCGTAAATCGCCAGTGGACCGTGGTGCCTTGCTGATTTCTCCGGTTTTGCCATGCCTGCACCTCGCGTTTGAGAGTCTCTTGGTCGGGGATACGTCTTGAAAGACATTGCCGCCTTAGCACGGAAAACTCAATCTCTGCGATATTCAACCAACTCCCGTGCTTCGGGGTATAGTGAAACTCAAGTTTTTCAGCGATCCGCTCAGCCTCTTGTGCATCAAACGCTTTATACAAGGATCCCGGCTTGTGTGTATTGAGATTATCGCAAACTATCAGTATCTTTTCTGCGTCTGGAAAATGCACATCCACGATATCTTGACAGACATGTGCGAAATCAATGCTTCTGCGTTGGTCGGTGACTTCAACGTGTCGAAATCCTAAAAGGGGTGCGAAGATCATAAACAGATTGCTCACGCCGTTGCGTTTATATTCAGGATCATATCGATAAGGTTTGCCCGGCATCACTGGGAGCGGCGGACGCATTTCCTGAAGGTGTTGTTTACTCGTCTCATCGACACACACTACAGGACGCCTCGGGTCTTCAGGGCGCGCATAGAGGTCTAAAACATCTTCCATATTTGTCACGAATGCCTCCGAAGCCTCTGCGGGGATACACCACTGCTGCTTGCGCCAGGGACACAGTTCGTTTTTTTTAGCACCTGTCGGATACACTCATGAGAAATGCTCGAAAAATGGTTGAGTTCTACCATTTCCTCGGCTAACAGACGCAGCGTCCATCGGGCGTGTCCCTCTGGGGGATCTGAACACGCTAAAGCGATGAGATGTGCCTCTTTTTCGCCATCAAACTTTTGCCGGGAGACCCAAGACCGTTTTTTCGGGGTTAGTGCGGCAGTGAGACCTTCAAGGGCGAAGGTTTTACGCGTTCGCTCAATGGTAGACAGCGAGACTTCCAGCGCTTCTCTTATCTGTTTATCTGCATAAGCGGCGGCTCCCTCACTTTCATCCGCTTTTAACAAGATCCGGGCACGCGTGAGTTTTCGCGCCGAATCCTTACCGATAGAGATCAGACGGATGAGAGACTCTCGTTGCTCTGAGTCAAGGAGAACGGGGTAACGTTTCGCTGGCATAACTGACTCCAACTTACAGGATTTATTCGTTAACACGCAGTATATCATGTTTTAGATTAACTATCAAGATAAACTTGACTAAGCACTAGTGAAACAGAAACAGATGGCGAAATTTCAAAGTGTGACTAGGAGAAATTAGAAACGAATTTCCTTGGGTCTGGAATTGAGATTGAAGACGTGTAATGCTCTACTGCGGCTGATACCTGTTCCACCGTAATCCCCGCAATCACTGCACAACTACCAGCACCGCATCCCCCCGGATGCCTCCCCGGATGGCATGGGTTACATCCCAAATTTATTCCGCTCTGGATAACTGTGTGCTTATCACCGTAGGGACCGCTCCGAATGTGGTTTGTTGAACCGAAAAGCGCAACTACAGGGGTCCTCACGGCAGCAGCAATATGCATCGGTCCCGTGTCGTTTCCGATATATACATCGCATGCAGAGATTAACGCCGCGAGATGCCGAAGATCGTCCGTTTTGACGAGCATTGGTGGGACATCCATCATTTCTGCAACCTTCGCTTGGAGTTCCCGTTCGTTCGGACCGGCAAAGAGTAAAATCGCTGCGTCTAATTTTTCTGCTAAAATACTCGCGACATTCGCGTAGTTCTTTGCATCCCACAACTTGTATTCCCAATTCCCACCCGGATGAATACCAATTAACAATTGTTCTGATGTCCGACCTGCTTCGGCAAGAAGTGGCGCGCATCGGCGTATTCCGCTTCAGTCAATTCTAAGAGTGGGGACGCATCCGTTGTGTCAACGCCTTGTCTCTGAAGCACTTCCAGATATCGAGTGACAGCATGGCGGTTGCCGTCACCATCGAGCAGCCCCCCAATGTTTCGCGCCGATACACCGTGCCATGAGGCTATCCCGTAAATTGACAATGAGGTCGAATTTCTCAAGTCGTAAGGTTTTTATGAGACGCAGCCTGCCTTTCCAACCAGCGTGTTCGCCGCGATTGTCATAAACCAATGCTGCATCGATATTGGGATCGGTCGCAAGGAGGTCAAACGCTCGCGGTCCGACGAGGAAGGTAATATGTGCATCCGAAAAGTGTCTTCGCAGGGGTTGGATAACTGAAGTAGACAGGACCGCATCACCGATAAAAGAGAAACTAAAGACGAGAATTTTCTTCAGCATTTTTTATCAAAGGTTTTTTAATCAGGACTTACGCAAATTGAGTAAATAGAAGAAACAACATTGAAGTGGAGAGGGTTTAACGCTTCTCGTCTTTTAACCACGCATCCATTGCTTCCCGCCTTGCGTTTTCACAGAACCTGTGAACGCTCTCTATGCTACCAAAAGGGATACTATAGACTTTTAGAACGGTGTGCATTTCCTCAAGTATTTCAGAAACGGCTTTGTTTTGAAAAAGGTTCTCAAGTGTTTCGCGATCTTTTTCTAATACCTCCCACCATTCATAAAGACTGTGAAGATACTGCACGTCACTGAGCGGATCCCGTCCCTGCATGTCCATCGCGTCGCTACTCACACCTATAGGGTCAAAAGTTGTTAGAGCCAACATTTCTTCCAAGGTTAAGTCAAGTTCTACTTCGGCGATATCAAACCAGCACAGCCCGTCGAACGCCTCATCGTCAGCAACGCCGGGAATCTCACGCTCCAAAAACTCCCACGCAACAGCAGTTGTTTTTGCGTCAAGTTTTTCTAAAGCTTCAATAAAGCCTTCTCTGTCGTGCATTGGAATGTCAAACAAGTTTAGCATTTTTCTAGCTCCTTAAAAAGATTCAATCAGGTCAACAGCTGCAGTCAAACCATCTTCCGTTTCCATCTGTTCTCCCAAAACCTGGGCACGCGCTGTCATCGCAGGCGTTTCCAAGACTTGCTGAATCCGTTTCGCCAAACGTTTGGCAGTGAGGCTTCGACGATGCAGATGCCGCGGTGCCACGCCTAAGTCCGACAGGCGTTTCCCCCAATAGGGTTGATCTGCGTGGTGTGCTACAACAACAGAAGGAACTTTGGCACGACACACGGACGCAGTTGTTCCAGCTCCACCGTGGTGCACAACGCAACACCCCTTCGGAAACAGCCACTGGTGTGGCACATACTCCGTGCAGAAGATGTCCGGTGGTGTGTCTTTTGTGCCGAGTTGTCCCCATCCCGCTTGGATGATCGCGCGTTGCTTTGCTTTCTTAACAGCATCAATCAAGATTTCTGTTGTTTCACGTCCGTTTGAACCTCCCATTGAACCGAAAGAGATAATAACGGGTGGCGGACCCTTCGCTAAAAAATTGACAAGTTCAGGCGGCGGGACATAGGATGGCGACGCAAGATGCCATACTCCGGTGAATTTGTGATTCGATGGGAAGACACTTGGTGGGCAGAGAGATGGAGATGCGGCAATGAGGTTCAGATGTGGTGAATACATCCCGTCTAATGCTACTGAAGTTCGTGGTTCTCCGCCGACAGACGCGATAAATTGATTGAAAAGCACGTCCACACTTGAAGCAAGACGGAGCTGTGCCAATTTCCATACAATCGCGTTGAATATACGTCCCCAATTTGGAAATGGATGCGGGGCGAAGTCGAGAGACTTGATGAAACCCGGGACAATATGTTACAGTCAGCCACGGGACACCGTTGCGAATTGCAGCCTCTTGGGCAGGGATGTCCACGGAATGGCAGAGGACTATATCAAACCCTTTCATTGCAGCTGAGCAGTCGTGATACCATTTTTCGCCACGGCGCACAATCCCTTCCTCTACAATGAGTCGTAGCATCGCAAGCGGGTCGCGCTTGGGGATAATTGCGTCCATCGCCGTCTGAAATTCTGACAGCTCAAAAACGATACCTATCTCATAGAATTCCGCACCGATCTCGAAGAGTCTTGTCTCTATAAAGTCCTGGGTGCACAGACGCGCACCTGATGCCCTCTTTCGAGCAAACGTTCCGATAGTGCCAAGACAGGATAGACATCTCCCGTTGAGCCCCACCCTACTACGACAATCTTCATTTTCGTCTCGCTTCTACGGTTATCGTCGCTGCATCCCAAACCGGTTCAACAGGAAGTTTTTTCGTGCATTCCCATCCGATTTTGCACTTGTGCGCGCTACAGGGCCAGCACGGCATATCCCGCCGCACGATAGAGGCGTTTTCACTCAACGGATGCCACGCCACATGATCAGTGGGACCGAAGATCGCTATTGTCGGTACGTCCACTGCTGCGGCGAGGTGCATCGGACCGGAATCGTTGCAGACGACCAAATCGCAACAGGATAGCAGTGCCCCTAATTCGCGGATTGTTTCTGGCGCGTGGGTAATAGCAGGGGACTGCATCGCTTTCTGAATATTGTCCGTTAATGCCTCTTCATCGGGACCCCGTAAAAGAAGTATCGTGGCGTTATAGTGGTGTGCCAGTCTGTCAGCAAGTTCAGCGTACTGCTTTTCGGGCCAGCGTTTATCGAACGAACTCCCACCAGGATGAATACCGATGAGAAATGTCCCCGGTACCGATGTTCCATGACGCGATCTGTGCTTTTGCGACGGCAATCTCATCAGGCGACAAGCGGAATATGAGTTTCCGTTTGCCTCCTCCATTACAGATTAATCGGACAAGTTCTAAGTTTCTGTCAACTTCGTGGGTTTCGCCTTTTGGATATTTACCGCGCCACGCGTGTGTGAGGGTGGATTTGAAGCGTTTCTGATAACGTCCTAAACGGTATGGTGCACCCGAAAGAAAGGCAACGAGATGGGACCACATTGCTGTCTGCATTGCGACAACAAGTTGAAACCGCTCACGACGCAACTCGCGGTAGAATTGGAGTCGTGCTAATATCCCTCGGTGTTTTCCACCCCTATCAAAGACGAGAATTCTGTCCACATCGGGATTACCGATTAGCACAGCGGCATTAAGTGGGCGCGCTAATACTGTGATTTCCGCTGATGGATAGTTCTTTCTCGCAACAACGAGATCGCCGGGGTCGAGTTCAGCAAATCGCCGATCCCGTCAACGCGAATGACGAGTATCTTATCGATGTTAGAAAGTGGTGCATTATTGTCCAGACCGCCGGGTAGCATAACTTTTCCCTTGCATGCGAAGTTAAAGTATTGTTTATTATAGCACGAAGCGATGGAAATGGCAAATCCCAAAGTCATTGCCCTACAGAGGGCACATATCGTTCGTTGTATCAACGCTGACGAATGTGGTATACTATAACTATGCAGCACAGAGCATCGCCCATAACTGCGGATAACCGGAAATCCTCAGCACTCCGTTTTCTTTTCGGGACTCTCGTCTTCGGTTCGATTCTCATTATCCTCACCTGTTATTGGATTATCTCCGCAGAAAACCGAGTAGTATGGGAGCTGACCGATTTTTCTATCTTTCCGACGGTACTCTTCACCTTTTTCCTACTCGCTCTCATCAATCCACTTCTCAAAAAGGTTTTTAGAGGTTTCGCGCCTACGGCGCGCGAACTTGCGTTGACGTATACGATGGTATCCGTAGCAACTGCGCTCGCTGGACACGACATCGTTCGGCAGTTAGTGCCCATGATTGCCAACGCCGGATGGTTTGCAACACCTGAAAATGAATGGTCAGATCTCTTCTTCCGATTCATGCCGACATGGCTAACGGTTACTGATCGGCGGATTCTACAGGGCTACTTTGAGGGTGATGATACGTTTTGGCAGGAACACTACCTAAATGCGTGGATGTGGCCCATCATAGCGTGGAGTGGATTGGTGATTGTCATTCTATTTATGATGCTGTGTGTCAACATCATCATCAGGAGACAGTGGATCGACCACGAGAAGTTGAGTTATCCTTTGACGACACTTCCTGTTGAATTGCTCGGTAATACGTCTACACTCTTTCGCAATAAGTTGTTTTGGCTCGGTTTCGGGATCGCATTTGGACTGGAGATTCTGGCGGGGTTGAACTATCTCTTTCCTGTGATACCTTCGCTCAAAATCAAGTATCTACTCTATTTTTCTGACCGACCTTGGAACGCAGTGGGGCGTTTACCAATCTATGTCTATCCATTTGCAATTGGGTTTGGGTATCTCATGCCGCTGGAGTTGTCGCTGTCATTTTGGTTTTTCTACCTGTTTTGGGGTGCGCAGCGCGTCTTTTTCAGCGCAACGGGGTGGACGACCGCCATCGGTTTACAAACGGAACAACGCTCCGGTGCTTGGCTCGGCATTGGGACACTTGCCCTCGTCACAAGTCGGCGACAGATTCTCGGAGTCCTCGGCGGCGTGTTTTCCTTTAAATCTAAAGATGGCTTATATCGGCTCGCTGTTTTTGGATTGGTAATCAGTATGGCTCTTGTGTTAGTTTTCTGGTATTTCGCTGGGTTATCGCCGTGGGTTGCGCTGGGTTATTTCGGCATCTATTTGGTGTTATGCCTTGGGATGACACGCATGCGCGCCGAACTCGGGCCTCCGACACATGAATTACACAATGTACATCCGGACAGAATTATGTTGATGTTTGCGGGAAGTCGACCCTTGGGCACGCAAAACCTAACCAACACGACCCTACTTTCATGGCTTGCGTATGGGTATCGCTGCCATCCGATGCCACATCAATTGGAGGCGTTCAAAATCGGCAGGCATTTCCGTTTGCATGAGAATCGTTTGGTTATTGCCCTGATTGTTGCGTCAATTGTTGGCGCGATCGTTTCGATTGTTGGGCACGTGGCACTCTATTATGAATATCGATTCGCACAGTGGGGAGTTGGTGAATTTAACCGCTTGCAAAGTTGGATTATCGCGCCACGAGCACCGAATCTACCCGCTATCCAGCATATAGTATTTGGCTTCCTGTTCACCGGCGTACTGACGTTTCTGAAACGTCAATTTTTGTGGTGGCCCCTCTATCCTGTGGGTTATGCTGTGGGGAACGGTTGGGCTATCGGTTGGATGTGGTTCTCAATATTTTTGGGGTGGTTCTTCAAGCAGTTACTTTTCACAGGGGGTGGGGTTCGAGCCTATCGCAGAGCATTACCGCTATTTTTGGGTTTCGTCTTCGGTCAGTTCCTCGCGGGGAGCCTCTGGAGTTTGATAGGTATAGTGTTGAATATGAACATGTACACGCTTTTCCCATGAAATTCTGTCATCAGGACATAATTTGTGTTTTTACATTTAGTGAATCAAACGGTCAGTAACATATCAGAAGTCCACTAATGCGTCTGCTTCCGATTCAAAGACGCCTATACTCTGCGTCAGTCCAATGGTATTGAAGATATTTCGGACTTGTGTAGACGGATGTGCCACTCGCAAAGATTGTCCTTTATCTCGCATTTTCCAAAGCAGTCTGATGATCTCACCGAACCCGCTACTTGTAATGAAACTGCGCCGTTCAAAATTAAGTAAAACCTTTTCTGCTTCCTGAACTTCAGCATCGGCGTAAGCTTCACTTAATATAGGTTCAGAACCATCGGTGAGATACCCTGTAATGTCAAATATAGCGATCTTTCCTTCGTGTCGAATAGAGATTTGAGAATTTGCCCTCACAATTTCCTCCTGTAAGATGAGTCTTGAATTTGTTAAATCCGATTATTAGTTGCAGTGCGTTCCGTTAATCTTCGGTAAAAGTTCGCTGAAGCGGCGTATGCTCCGGTTGCTCCCGCGACTACTGTCCCGTCATCCAGATGAAGCCATGTCTCAAATTGACGTTCACCTTCCTGTAACGCTATGACCCGTGCGCCGCGGGGAAATCCCTCTCGACCGTAAGTATTGTAGCCAGAAGCGCGCCCGTAGCACAGGCGAATCCCGTGCAAATCACCCCAGAAATCGTTAACATGTTCGTGTCCGACAAACGTTCCCATGACATCGCCTGCTTCATGCATCGCGGCGAAGAAACCCGTATTGACCTGAGGCGCGCATACGTTCTCATATTTCACCCCATAGCAGGTGTGAAAGTCCCATACCTCGTCATATTCAGGAATTGGGATGTGGAAAAAGGCGAGTGCAGGAAGTGGATTCCCCGCTCCAGCAGTGATTCTTGCAGATTCTTGCAGATACCACGCAATTTGTTCCCGTTTAATCCAATCGTAGCCACCAATATCTGTTTGCGCGTAACTGCCGGAATCAATAAAGTAGAGCACTGCAGCGGGCACATTCTCCTTAAAACTCTGGATGGATAAGACGTAATTCCCAACACCGGGAATCTCCGCCGGTCCTGGTTGCGTGAGGGATAGCGGACTCTCCGACATGATTGCCATGAGTTCGTGCCGATCAGCGGTGCCTTCATCGTCGTGATTCCCGAAGACTGCTGCCCACGGAACCCCACACGCTTCGACGGTTTGAACAACTTGTCGGAGGGATTCAGCGGCATCATCACAACCTCCGCCCGCCAAAATATCGCCAGTCAGCACAATCAAATCTGGGGATTCAGTTTTTGCTACTCGTGCTATTAATGCTGCCGATTGTTGATCGGGTTCTTCACCATTGTGCCAATGAATATCAGTAAATTGCACGATTTTAAAACGCTGGTCGCTGCGAAACTGCAATGCATTTTCCATTATCTGTTGCTCTCCTTTACGCGTAATCATAGCATAATTCCCAAAAATTGCAAGCGAATTCTTTGTTGCCAGAATTGTTTTATATGTTGTTGTGGAAATAGAATGTTCCTTTCTTTCCTATAGAGTCAACTGTGTAAAAAAAGATAGTAAGAAAGGTGTTATGATAGATTTGACAATTATCTATACACTATAAGGGCGAGGTTAGGAAATCTCGCCAGCGGTGGGAAGGAGATTTCTTATTCCTTGATCTGTGAAGTGTCAATGTATTTTCATAATTCACCATAGTTTTAAAAATTTATCGGATTGGCTGGAGTTTGAGCACCCTTTTCGATGCCCGGAGCGGTTACAAACCGCTTCTACCGGGTCACCCGAAAACGTCGTAAAAAATGGAAAACTAAATAACCCTACTCTGACTTAGAATAGTCTTGCTATATCCGTCTTTACGTGGTAACATATATACGCTATGCGAAATAACTGTTCATTGAACACCTACGACACCCGGACTACTATTCTCTCTAACGAAGAGGTAGCGGAAGCGCATTACTTGTTGCGTTGTGAATGTGCTGAGATCGCGCAGCATGCACGTCCAGGGCAGTTTGTCCACGTCATGATTTCACAGGATACAGGAATGTTACTTCGCCGTCCTTTCACTATCTATACGGTGGAAGGGCACGAGATAACAATGCTTATCAGATCATCGGCGAAGGGACAAAGCAATTGTCGGAGATGCCGACGGGCGCACCTTTACAAGTCTTGGGACCGCTCGGCAATACGTTTAATCTTACCACAAAGCCTGAGCCAGCCATCCTTGTCGGTGGGGGTGCCGGTATTGCATCGCTCATGTTACTGGCTGCTGCGTTGCGTGAAAACGATATACAGACGCTCGGATTCGTCGGTGCCCAGCATCGTGCCCGACTCTTGAGTGTGTCAGATTTAGAATCTATCGGCATCGCAGTACATATCGCTACAGACGATGGGAGCATCGGGCATCACGGGTATGTAACTGATGTCCTGGCGGATTTGCTGAGTGAAACCAAATGGCATCGTCCGACGATTTATGCATGTGGACCGCACGGAATGCTCGCCGCTGTTACAAAAATTGCCACTGACTTTGAGGTGTCTGCCCAAATTGCTATGGAGAATCGGATGGGATGTGCGATGGGGGTGTGTCTCGGTTGCGTTTGTCCCGTCCGAATAGATACGAATCGCGTTGAATACCAACGTGTTTGCACCGAAGGTCCTGTCTTTAATGCAACCGACATTGCATGGGATGTTTTTTAGTCGGGTGCAAGGCGTAAGACAGACAATTAAATATCGGCTTCATCTTACAATCCACAGGTTGTCGTTGTTGCCCGCTTGCATCATTCTTAAAATAGTTTAATCATAACCAACAGGATTTACCCAAACAGGCGATAAATCGCCTTACTACAAACACAATCTCTTTGAAAATAGCCGTGTTCTCAAAACAAGCGTGGTTCGTAGTCGCGCAATTCATTGTGCATTGCGTAAGTCCTAACCAATATGGTTGAGATTGATCGGAAACCCGATTTTGAGAACGGAAAAATCAGAGCGAAAACCCAATTGTTAAAAACATGGAAATAACATTTTATCAAGAATTAACAACTATTAGCCTCAGCGGCGAGCTCCTTTCCGATGCTACCTGTGAAAAACTTCTAACCGCATCGGAGATAGAATTACTCCCACTTCTGGATGCAGCGTATCAGGTTCGCAAAACCTACTTTCAAAATGAGGTACAACTGCATATCCTCAACAACGCCCAGAACGGCTACTGCCCAGAGGATTGCCATTATTGCGCGCAGGCAAATTCCGCAACGACAGACATCGAAGCCTACCCTTTAAAACCTGATACTGAGATTCTGGCGGAAGCTGAACGCGCTTATGAATCCGGCGCGTATCGCTACTGCATTGTAATGAGTGGACGCGGTCCCTCACCAAAACGAGTCGCTCACCTTGCGAAACTCATCCGCACTGTAAAAGCGCGCTACCCGATCGAAGTGTGTCTCTCCGCCGGATTGGTTGATGTAGAATCTGCTGGTATCTTAAAGTCCGCGGGATTGGACAGATTGAACCATAATCTGAATACTTCCGAAGCCCATTATCCAAAGATATGTAGCACGCATAGCTATCAGGATAGGATGGATACGTTGCAAGCCGCACAGACGGTCGGGCTCGCCTGTTGTTCAGGTGTGATCGTGGGGATGGGTGAAGGGATAGATGACTTAATTAAGGTGGCGAAAGCACTCCGGCAACTTGAGGTCGCCTCACTCCCAGTAAACTTTTTCTTGCCAATATTCGGCACGCAGCTGGTGGAAACGCCTACGCTAACGCCCGATTATTGTCTACGCGTGTTATGTCTTTACCGATTTCTGAATCCTCAGGCTGAGATACGGGTCGCTGCAGGCAGGGAGCATCATTTTCGGAGCATGGAAGTGATGGCACTCTATCCAGCGAATTCAATGTTTATAGACGGCTACCTGAATGCGGAAGGCTCGACGGCATCGCGCACGCTTGAAATGATTCGGGATGCCGGGTTTACGGTGAAAACAAACAGTGATGATACGGAACCACTCAAGCAGGAAGAAACAGAAAAAAGAGATGTCCTTCTCAAGGAGTTGAAAGTACTTCGCCCGCGCATGGAATCCG